TATATATATATATATATATACACACCCCCACACACACATATAGTTGACCACTTTTCCACCAATGACAACTTTATAATGTAAGTATTGTTTATTATAGTAGCTGTGCACTGGCTTTAAACAAAAAAAAAAAGTGTCATGTTGTATTTTCTATTATACTGTAATAGTAAACTTTATCATTCTCAAAGAAAAGAAACACAGAATATTAATTATAAATATATAACTTGTGATAGGATCATTACCACATATTTTTTTTTAACTTAGAAATATTTCTAGGTAGTATTAAGTAAATGTTTGAAATTAGAAAGTGGTGAAACACATTTTCTCATCCTTTTGGTCCTGACATATCTCTAGATGTCTATCACAGAACTGTCATGATGCCTAACGTTTCTGTACAAACCATAAAAATTAATATCTAATATTAATATATTAAGCTGAAAAGTGAATACATTATAAATGATAGTGATTCATTTTTAGTATTCTATCTTATATAAACTAGAAAACTATAAAGTGAAGCCAGATAGAATTTTTTGCATTTTGTCACATTTAATTTTCATAATTTTTAAATAAACCAATAAAAAGATATAAATGGTTACATTTTTATTTGTCCTTTTAATAGGTGGACCAACAATCTCAGTATATTCAAGGATATAAAATTCTTTATCGGCCATCAGGAGCCAACCATGGTGAATCGGAGTGGTTAGTTTTTGAAGTGAGGACCCCAACCAAAAATAGCGTGGTTATCCCTGATCTCAAAAAGGGAGTCAACTATGAAATTAAGGCTCGTCCTTTTTTTAATGAATTTCAAGGAGCAGATAGTGAAATTAAGTTCGCAAAGACCTTAGAAGAAGGCAAGTATGAAATGTGTGATTACTGTGCTCTGCAATATATTTGTTAGGTTTTTATTAACTTAATTGAAGAAATGTTAATGTTAATACTGACACTAATTATTAACTGTCTTGATATTGAACATTATATTTTGCTAATAGAATTTGTTCAGTTAGAGCTTCTGAAGACCAAAATTCCGTAACATATGACTTGCTTTAATAGTGGCTTCTGTAAAAATGTGCAAATGTGAACTGAACTGTGTGTTACTTAATGGCATATATAGGACATACTCAATTGTTCAGAACTAAAACTCACATTTAAAGATAAACTTGTTCTCAATGTGCTTGACTTCCCATTAATTATTTTCCATTCACTGATTGAATGTTACTTTGAGTAATGATTTATAAATAAGGTGAGTATTGACTTGGTTTTCCCAGGACTCTCTGAGGTTAGTATTTTATGCTTATGCCTCATGTCTATGGAAACCGCTCAGCTCTAGAAAAACCAGTACGATAGGCTACTCTATAACTGGAATTTTAAACCCTTATTTACAGAAAGGTTAAATGTCACAAACATATTCTTTAATAAAACCAGAATTTTCTGTAAAATGTGTTTATTACTTTTATTACATACATGATAAGGATATAGTTAATGTCATGGGTGATTAATGTATACTTTATACTTTGGAATGTTTGTAAGGAGAACATGAGACTAAGGTTATAGGGTAGGAGAAACAAGAATTTTCCTGGCATATTTTGTGGAGATAATCTATGTAACTTTGGTTATGGAAAATTCTCAATAGCTAAAGAGTTAGCAATATTGAGGAGACACTTAAATCATTTGGGACGATTCAGACTTGGATGAGACATATGCATATATTGACATAGATTTTATATAGTTACTACTTGACTTTAAATGTTGTGTCTGCTTCCAGTGTTCTCTAATATATTCATAACCTACTTTTTAAAATAATTTAATAGCACCCAGTGCCCCACCCCAAAGTGTAACTGTGTCAAAGAATGATGGAAATGGAACTGCAATTCTTGTTAGTTGGCAGGCGCCTCCAGAAGACACTCAAAACGGAATGGTCCAAGAGTATAAGGTAATACATATATAGTAATTTACTGATGGACACCCTTCTCCCCCTACCAAAAAAAAAAAAAAAAAAAACCCACAAAAAACACACACACAGAAAAAGCTTGTTTAAATTGTGGATATTTGGCGCCATCTGCTGGTCAATGGAGCAACATGTAAAATTATTTGAAAAATACTTTCCTGTTCAGTAATTGTGGAATAATTCTTTCTTCAGCCATTTGAAGAAACAGTTAATTTAAAAGAAGTAATCTATATGGTCACAAAATCTATAGGTCCATGTAATTTCACACAAACAGCAAGTATGAATGCTAATAAAAAAGTAATTTTTTTAACCTTAAAAAATACCTTGAATATATTTTGCAGGATTTGGTTGCCCCATGAATTACCTATGAGTCAAATTCTATTAAACATGGTTTGCTTTATGTTTTTTTCAACATATTTGAAATTTTAGAACTTTGGAGCTAAGTTGGAAAACTTATTTTAAGGTGCACAAAATTTTTTTTCTATAAACTGTGTTTTAGTTTCAAAGGAAAATGTCCTGTCTCAGAGGAGATTCAGTTATAAATTTATGTATGTTTAAATGAATTTTAAAAATATAAGATGTCAAGTGGCTTAATCTAATATTCTGAAAATTATTTTTACCTGTGAAGTCATTGGCTTTAGTCATTAAATTTAAGAGTCTTACATAGATTTTGAGCAAATATTTTCAAGCATGACAGGGTACAATAAAAACTAATTTAGGGTCATGAGATGTAGCCTATCAATGAATCTATATTATAGGAAAGGCTTAATGATCCATGGTAAATGAAGAAGTGATTGATTGAATCAGGGGAATCTCAATAGAAAATAGCTTTCACAGGTCTTTTTTTCCAACATATGTGTAAACATATTACATACTAGAAGAATTTCAACTGCAAAACATGTATTTCCGCAGATACTGCTTTGTATTCCCGTGATACCTGAGTATTTTTCTAGTTACTATCTAAACTGTGATACGAGTTTATCTCACATATGTGAATATTTTAGTCTGTGTCCATTGATAGGAAAATGATGTCAAAAAGGTGAACACATTTATCTTCTACAGGCAATTGCATACTAACATCAGAATCACTTGTGGACTCATTTTCCAAGTATAGGTACCTGACCACCATTCTGAGAGATTCTGATTCAGTGGGTCTGATAGGGCACTTGCATATGTATTTTGGTAGATCTTTCCAAGGTGATTCTAATGTGCATACTTGGTAAGACCCAAATAAAGACCATCAGTGTTCTTTTGAGTAGCAAATTGGTTTGTAAAACAACTAGATATACTGAGCTTAATTTAGGTCTAATATTTTCTTAAAATGATTTTTAAAAACAAACTGAAAACCTCTTTATGAAATTTGCATATATTTTTAAAGGGTGACATTTTATAGTATTTAAAATAGTGCTGTGAATGCCCCTCAAATGTTCTAAGATATTTCAAATTAGATCTTCTAGTGTAATTGAGTCATTAAAAGGTACTCGTCTCTACGATGTAAGTGTTTTCTCATGAATATCAAGGTTATCTCAATACTGGGGAGTGACAGGATGCTATGGTTCAGTCCAGAAAAATGAACTGTTATAGAGATTATTAAGGATTTAAAATGAGGTGATGTCTCAGCTCTCAAGTAAAATTGTGTAATGTAGGCATTTTCCCCTAAGAGCCAAAGCTCATTTCTCTCCAGAAGAAATGCAAAAGGGTGGATTTCACTTAACTTCATGGTCAATTTAAAATAATAAAATGCCTTTGAAAACCTGATTGACTGGTACAAAATCAGTTTGTGGCTTTGGTTCAGCTGTGTAATGTAATTGGGGGAGGAAAAAATCACAAAGGAGTCTTTATTTCCAAATGGTCAGATCCTGGTATAGAGTCTGACCATTTGTTGGTGTTATGCATTGAAACGATATTAAAATAATGTTAACCTCCAAAGAAAAAAATAAATGGTGGTTGCCTACATGATAGGAGACACTGGTACTCTTTCTTGGGTTTATTTTAAATCCCATTCCGTCTTACAGTTTAGACAATAGGCTACTTGAAACTAATCCTACATCTTGCTCGAGGACATCGTAAAGAATAGAGAGTGTGTTTTACTACTCCATGGACCATTTTCTTATGGCAACTGAGTCCAAATGCTGTCATGCACCATATCCTACTTCTTGAGCATTGCTGAGGGTCACTCTGATTAAATAATCCTTTAGTGAAATTTAAATTAAGGATTACTGTGTAGTTCAGATATCTTAATTTCCTTAAAATAATTTCCCGTCACAAATATCCTTATCAAAGTTATTGAGCTATACACTAATTTTCTTATTGGGAGAATATTTTTCCTTCAAATATGTGTTGTTATTTTTCATTGTCTCATATATGTTATCAAAGACTCACACACCACAGGCTGAGTAGACTCCTAGGAAGACCCTTTCTCCTTGTATCCAGTTTTATTTATTTACTTTTCACTAAACTCTATAACTCTACACCGAACATGGGGCTCAAACTTGGGACCCAGAGACCAAGAGTCACATGTTGTAGTAATTGAGTCAACCAGGTACCCCTGTCCAGTTTTGTTATAAATAGCCATATTTATACAAAGGTACTTTAGATTAAGTTATTGATCTTTATCTGGATATACACAGCTTTTTGCAAAGCCTTTTTGGCAAATAATTTCTAGGTGTTTAAAAAGAAAAAAACACCCTGTCGATTTGGACTGATAATAAGAACCTGTGTCTTTGAGCAAAAATGTATAGACTTTCCCATTATAATCCTTTCAAAGTATATGAGACAATTTAGAGAGGTTTTGAAGGTACTGCTAACCTGAGGTTTGACGGGGAGAGGCCTCTCAGAACTAGATCCTAGGGAAAAATGACTTTTGCAGCATCCTATATTAGGTTCATGATGAGTCTGAACTTGGTCTAGGTCTAAAACTGAAATGCTATGCTGATCTTTGCGTTCACTTAAATAGCTTACCAGCTTAACATTCCTTGTTCTCTTCTTAAAGGTTTGGTGTCTGGGCAATGAAACTAGATATCATATAAACAAGACAGTAGATGGTTCCACCTTTTCTGTGGTCATCCCTTCTCTGGTTCCTGGGATCCGGTACAGCATAGAGGTGGCAGCCAGCACTGGGGCCGGGGCTGGGGTGAAGAGTGAGCCACAGTTCATCCAGTTAGGTGAGTGCCAGTACAGATCCGCTTTGACAGTCTGTCGCTGTTTCCATTGTCCTGCCTTTGTTTTTTGTTGGTTGGTTGGTTTGCTGGAAATAGAGCTACAACAATATATTTCATAATTGCAGAAAAATATATACAAGTATATAATTATGTACATATAGAACAGACAATATAATATTATGATTACATAAATGTATATAATATATATCACAACTAAAACTTAGCCGAGCACACATTTTAAATTGTATTTTAAGCAAAGGCTGTCAGCATTCATTGTCATCCTAATTCTATCCTTTTCTTTTCTTTTTTGGTCTATTCAACAAATACTATTAATTGAGAACCAAGGATACCTCAGTGGGTAAGAAAGACAGTCTGAACATTCATGGAATTTATAGTGATTTGGATGAAAAAAATAAATTCCCATGAAAAAGTTACACTAGGTATTAGAAGTTTAAGCAATATGCAACTTATATTTACCATTTTGGTGTCTGTTTTTTTTTTTTTTAAGTTGTTATTTATATTGAGAGAGAAAGAGATAGGAGAGAGTGGGGAAGAGGCAGAGAGAGGGAGAGAAAGAGAATCCCTAACAGGCTCCACACTGTCAGTGCAGAGCCTGATGAGGGGCACGATCCCACAGACTATGAGATCAAGAGCCAAATGCTCAGCCAAGGCAGCCTGGGCTCAAGCCACCCAGGCACCCCGTTTTTGGTGTCTGTTTAAAATGTTAATTGCTTTTTATAACAAAAGATAGATTCAAATGTCAAAGAGAATGTGAATATGGTTATATGGTAATTACTTAGATAGTTAAATACAATATGTGCTTCAAAAGTGGTTAGATGAATTAAAAGAAAAAAAGAAAACTTAACAGAGAAGCATTGTAACAACACTCTCCTGTAGTCAATGTCGCATGAATACAAAATACAAATTAGTAAATGGTTACTAGAAAAATGTAAAGCAAATAATAACAAAACAGCAACAAATACAACTATAAATGGAAAGGGAAAAGAAAAGTGTCAATATTAAGAGGCTACATTTAAATTACAAAAGATGCTGAGAGCCCAGTCAACATTGTGTCTGTTCATTTCAGATCCCAAGTTAAGCATTAGTAAGATTTTATGTCCATTTCTAAATTATGGACAAGGATCAGATATATGCATTTTTTATACTTCACAGATAAGTGCGTAGTATTTTTGCATTTGGATGATAATTGATGACATTCAAGACATTATTTCAAAACAAAATTAAAAAACATTTGGCTTTGAATAAACTGTGTTGTATAAGCTTTACATTCAATTTGGAAACTGCTATCATTGTTCCGTTGTTAAGACAATGCTATCTTCTCTAGTAGATGTCCTTGCCGAAGTCCTGTGGTATAACACAATAAAGTCCACCTGAAGTTCAGTAAGTGTGGGGTAGGACCCTGTTCCATGTAGACATGGAGGGTCAGGGGCTGATGAGGCTTAGCTTTATTTAACGTGGAGCTTCCAAGGTTGACCCAAGGCCAGCAGAAGGAAAAAGAAACACATAGTGTAGGGGAGGATTTAATGGTGCAGATCTAGAAATAGTGCATGCCTCCTGCCCAGGACTCAAGTCACATGATTCCAAATAGATGAATGGGAACACCACAAAATGAAGCCACTGGTGAGGGAGCTACCTCCCGAAAACTCTATGCTATGGAAATAACATTCCAACCTTCAGAGGGGAGCTTGCTACATCCGCCAGAGCCATGGACCAGAATTCGAGTTGGGAATTATCTTTTTAAACAGTGATTACGTGTGCAACCTTTAGGTGGAAATAGTTTCATGATTTATTTCAGCATCATCTATTACAAAATTCCAAGTAATACAGGAAACTAAGAGAATTACTTGATACAATTTTAGGTGAGATAAGGGAAAAACAGTCTCAGTATAGACCTTTTACTCACTTGCCCACTTTTATGAAGTGTCAGTACTAACTTATTAAAATTGATATTATAAGTTACACCGTGATGACCTTATACATTGTTGATGTCACTTACCTACTTTTGTAACATGTGATTTTAGTCCTGTGTTTTCAGAGCTGAATTGGGAAAGGGCCATGTGTAATTTTATTTATTTAAGATTTAAATCAAGGGATTTGAGGGTCAAATTGGTTTTCTTGAAATTATAAATGTGTTCCAGTTTTCCATATCTTAATATAGCCTCAGCTGCAGTGAGACAAAGACTGAGATACAGAGTGGCCGTTTTAATTCATTAGTCACACCACACTTTATTCTCTTAAGCCCATCTGGTCGCTTGCATGGAACCTCTCTTAGCTGTCTCCTTAAAATCTGAAGCTACCCAACTTAACCTTGCACAAATAGCCATGAAATCTATAAACTTAGTAGATATAAAAAGTGTATCAGGAAAAAAAAAAAAAAAAAGAATAGGTCTGCTTGGTGAACTCGCAGAGGATGAAGTGCTTTTACGATAACTGTAGATAAAAGAGCCTGGAACATGAAATGAAACATTCAGTCAACAAACTGTTGAAAGCAGGTAACTGAGAGAATTTATAAAAATGGAGACTTTTCGAGCAGCCCTCCACAAGGAGATAATGGGATTCTGTCAAAAGAAAATAAAAATAATAATAACACCACACACACACACACACACACACACACACATACACACACACACGCACACACACCTGTGAGTAGCAATGTAGCTACCATTTTACATAGAAAGGGGTGGCACTTTCACAAGACTGTTTCCTTAGCCACCGAATGCTGCTTATTTGTCTAACCAATGTCTTATTGGGACATAATATCATCTACTAAGAAAAAAATCATCTCTAGATTTTTTTTTTCTGTTGGAGAAATGTTATTCCTAGATAATAAGCTATCGTAGTTATTTTTCTGAAAAAAAAGGGGGGGGTGGAATTTTGGACTAGAGCGAATGTTTCTATTTTATTTATTTTTTTTAACGTTTATTTATTTTTGAGACAGGGTGAGACAGAGCACGAACAGGGGAGGGTCAGAGAGAGGGAGACACAGAATCTGAAACAGGCTCCAGGCTCTGAGCTGTCAGCCCAGAGCCCAACACGGGGCTCGAACTCACGGACTGCGAGATCGTGACCTGAGCCGAAGTCGGCCGCTCAACTGACTGAGCCACCCAGGCGCCCCAAAATGTTTCTATTTTAAAACAGGTTCATTACCAGAACATTTTCAGACTGTAAGAAAGCACCAGCCCTGATGAAATGGACAAACCCTTCTTGTTTCACCAGATGTTGTGGGGGAGGAACATTAAAACTACAGACACTGGTGGGAATTCTGCCCACTGGGCCACCTTGGTGTTGCCATGAAGTCAGAGCCCATGAAGTAGGGTATGGCTCTGATGACAGCACAGCACGTCCAGTTCTCCATAGGCTCTGCTAACTGCTCTGTGTGACTTGACAGAATGGTGGGCTTAGACAACGAATCGTGGTGTGTTTAAACATGAATGCAAAACTAAGTACATTTGAATAGCCATCAATCCCATGGATTTCAAATTCTTGAATTGAGATAACAAAACACAAACCTTTTTGGCTTGGTAACACTTGATAGTTCTTGTCCATATTTAATGTTCTTATATCTGTTGTTGATCACGGCTATTATTTTAAAAAGAAAGAGATGACTTGGAAAAAAAAAAAACTGTGGGACACATGGTTCGTTCATTCAGTAGACCATCCGACTCTTGATCTCGGGGTTGTGAGGTCAAGCCCCATGTTGGGTATAGAGATTACTTTTAAAAAATAGGAATATTATTCATAGTTATTTCAGTGGTAAGATTATCTTAATTTTTCTTTGGTTTTACATTAAACTAAATTTTATAGACCCTTTGAACATAGGCCCAAATAACGTGTTTATAAGACATTTTAGAGTCTGAAAATAATAGCCTATACAATCGGGGTATAGGGACAAGGAAAGTATACACTGTTTTTTTCAATATAGACCTTAAGAAGAGGAAATAGCCTTTTATTTGTTAATATTTTAAAACCTATAGAAGTCTGAGACAGTTTATATCTTTTTTATACAACTTATTTGATACTCCTTATTTATATACTATTGGTGACATATTTCACTTTTTAGATTTATAGTTTTGTATTTATCTCAGCAGTAACCGGTGAAAGTTCATCTAAGCAATAAGCTGCAGAGTTTTCTGGAGTAAAAAATAGAAATTGTGCACCATTGTCTTTGTTTTTAAATATAGTCCGTAAAATTACCGTATCATGTGTTTTGTATGAAGATAAAGTGAATATAATTTTGCTGACAATCTCCTGGACTTTTTTAATTAACAGAGGTGGATGTCACAGAAGAAAAGACAGAAATTACTGTTCAAAAATTGACAAAATAATGATAACCACCTTAGATGAGTATTCATTCATTGTCTCATTGACTTTTAAACCCACATTAATCCAAAGATGGCATTTCAGATTCTCATGGAAACCCTGTGTCGCCTGAAGACCAGGTCAGCCTTGCTCAGCAGATCTCCGATGTGGTGAAGCAGCCAGCGTTCATTGCCGGAATCGGGGCAGCCTGCTGGATCATCCTCATGGTGTTTAGCATCTGGCTCTATCGACACCGCAAGAAGAGAAACGGGCTGACTAGTACTTACGCGGGTATCAGAAAAGGTACTACCTTCCCTACGTTTTCCATTTTGTTATATGTTTGTGTAACTCCTGATTTTAATCTGTGACCCCAGAATATTCATGACTATATATCTCCTGTAGTAAATTATTTTCATATAGAAAGATTTTCAAAAGTGCTTTTATTGTATTGTCATCTCCACCCGTTGACTCCTCTTGATTAGCAGCACTTCCAACAAGGGTTTATCCGTTTCAGGCTCAATTCCTTTAAAATAGATTTCACCAAGGTAGGTCCACCCTTGTTTGTTATACCGTCTCCTGTGCTTTGGGGGAGTTACTCCATGGTTTTACATTCTTGAAGAAATGTTTTAGCCTCGTTGTCCCAGGAATTATAAATACAAGCTCTGCACTGAGCTTAAACGGAGTGCTGTTGTTTTCGTGAAGCTGAAGAGATTATTTGTAAACTAATTATTTTATGATTCTTTCTGATGGTCTATCAGATAGCTATTTCTTACTGAACATGGAATGCCCAGCTAAATGATGTGCCTCCATTTGCAGAGAGGAGTGTTTATTTTATTTTTTTTATTGCTGTATTTAAAGTTGGGGAGTTGAATATCGATATGCCGTTAATTAGCGGTGGGGATTTCGTTACAAATGTGTTGATAGTTTTAGAAGAAAGAGTTTACCTGGCTGCTGTTAGTTACAATTGTATGGATGAACTGAGTACACCAAGAATTTTCAGACACCTTCGCCATACATGCCTTTGAAGTCTGTACATTGGTGATTTGTATTTTTTATTCTTTGATAAGATTTGTGAACCTTCTCAGGCAAATAATCCTCCCTGCCCTCACCTTCCCAACAAATATATTAATCAACTCTGGGCCTCTGATATGGGCTATAGGTAGTGTGAGTGAAGGTTCTGGCTATCTGGGGAGAGGCCCAATTTATGTCTTTAGTCCAACTAAATTATTTATACTGCTCCTTTTTTGCTCTTAAAACTGCCCTGGTTTATATGACACGTGACACATTCACCCTAGTCATAGGGCTTCTATGCAGATCTAAGACAACACTTTTGCTTTGCTGCAAATTTAAAGGGAATTACCGATAAACACATCCCCTCCCCCCACCATCACCACCCTTTAGAAAACCGTCAACAGAATTTTTGAAGGGAACATTTCCTAAGTGTCTTGGCTAAGCCCTTTCTCTAATCAGTTATAGGCAAAGTCAGAATTTGTGGTGCTAGCTAGAACTTTTCTCAATGAGAAGTTCTCTTGACGGTCCCCGTACACTTATAAAACAGCCTGGAGAAGCAGTCTAAAATATTAGTGCTCTCAGTCACAAGGGATCCTGGCAAGAAAGAGTGCACACAACTTCATCACCGTGCTGCAAACATAAATTAATGTGCCTCCTGCCTGTGGGTGTGCAGCATTCTATGTAGGTACACTTGCTGCAGCATTACCATCCTTAAAAATGTGTTTTTTTTTCAGATATGTACTCTGTCTAGAGATGAAGCAAAATGTCAGTATCCCTGCCTGTGAAATGGAAAATGAGGGCTTGGAGGTTACTGCAAAGGGAGCTGGCGCTCATTATGTATACAAAGCAGGACAATGTCCCTCACATGTGTCACCATATAAAACCTTTGACTAAATGGCAATGCCGAGAAGGGGCTTGCGGGTGTCCCTGTGTCGTGGGGCAGGGAAGGGGCAGGGCTGTTGGGAGCTGTGTTTTGAAATCCAGCTCGAAGAGGATAAGTGATTTAATTAACGCACAGATGAGGACTCTCTTGAATTCTCCGGGAATCTTGTACTTCTTAGTGCCATAAGGTGCTGTAGCTGTACAGTCATAACAATTGAATGCTCTGTATTGTCTTGAAATCTAAATATGTGACATGAAACCCATTTCCTCTCTGAAATTTCTCTTCTTCCACTAATGTACTTTAAGCATGCTGGCAGATGCCTATGTGCTCTTTGTGCAAAACCTATTAAACTAATATCATTGTCCTTTTAACTAGCTTGTGTTAAAGCAGAAATCATAGAACATAATTACAAATGTAATTGGTGAGCATTCGATTCAGCTTTCCCATTTTGCCTTGTTGGCACTTTTTCATAATTCTGTTTCCATGCAATTCAAAAAAAAAAAAAAAAAGTGCATCCTGAAACCTTAAATTGTCTCTGCCAAAACAATGCCAGTAATTAAAAGAAAAAACGAGATGAAGCATTTCAAAGAAATAGACATGAAAGAACCTATTGCCCTATAAACCATCAAGCCAGAGTGTGACTTTGGGTGACAGTGAGCATTTTTAAACACCCCCTGCCCCCATTTATCTGTAGATAAACCCTATGCTGGAACATGCCATGTCCCTTTTCCACATGCATTCACACGGTGCACCAGCATCACTGGGTAAAAAGAGATTATTGTATTATCAGAGGCTTTGAAAATTAAGTTGTTTTTTGGGGTACAGGCTATAAAAATTTCACTTAGATGGACTTCTTTTCATCTCTCCTTCAGTTCCTTTAACTGGGTTGGCAGTTAGCTAAGAGTACAGACAAGGAGCTTTCATATTGTCGCTATGTCCTTATGACTGCAAATTAATGCTCAGGCACTTGAATAGCTTCACTTTCCAATGTACCTTTTATTATTATTATTATTATTATTATTATTATGAAGACTTGTTGCTATGACTCTGAATTTTTGATTGTAGCTAAATTACATTGACTTTCTGAAAAGACCTAACTGAAAGAAAACACAGCCCGGGAGACCGCGGCTGTGCTCCAAACGAAGGCCAGTGTGTAAATTGGGTACACGGCATTGAGGGTTTCGTTTTTGTTCCTTCTAGTGTGCTCAGAGATAAAACGGTTTGGTGAAAAGTGACAATTGTGTGGCATGCCCCAGCGTTAACAGTTAGCAGCCCCAAAGGCTCTAATCCCAAAGTAAATTTCTGGGAGACATTCATATGTGAAGTGGAAAATACATTTTTTGGCAACTTGATGATCCACGATAAGGAATCGATATTCTAGTTTGTGTGACTTAAGGATTTCTCAGACACAAACTTTAGTCTTCAAGAAAGCAGCGTAGGTTCCCTTGCTGTCTTTGCCAGGTCAGTGTTTACTTTCGATTAATGCGAAGAGCTTGGGAAATGAGGCAGCCCCCTCCCTCCAGGAAATGACATGGAAACACTAGTGGTGTTATCCAACACCCAGCATTTGGGAGGAGGTGGGAAAAGTGGGGGAGGCAAGGCTGCCACTTTTGAGGTCTGAGGTTGAACTTCAGGCATTATTGACGAGATGAAGATTCATAACTGCAGAGAGAGCGAAGGCTTTCAGTGGGGCGATTGTTGTGTTGTTAGCTTCTGGGGTGACGTTTAAAAACTGCTCAGCCTACTCGGAGAAGGCTTCTACATGTGAACTAGAATAGAGAAATTAAAGTTTAAAACTCCCCATTTTTTTCCCATTCACAAATTTCCACAATGATAAAAACATAGTATTACACTGTTTACGTGATAAGGTGTCAGGCATTTCTTGGCAGTTCAGTTTTATGGTTCTCTTTGTTTCAGTTTGCTCTTGCCTTCTTTCTTCCCTCTCTTCCTCATTTCTTTCTCTTTGTTCCTTCTTTCTCTTCCTTCCCTTTTCCTTCCTTCCCTCCCTCCTCCCTCCTTCCTTCCTTCCTTCCCCCCTCATTCCTTCCTTCCCTCCCTCCCTCCCTCTCTCCTTCTACACAGCTTCCTCCCTTCCCTCCTCCTCCTCCTTCATTTCCTTTCATCCTTCCTCTCCTCCTTCATCCTCCTCACTCCTCCATATTTCCTTCCTTCCTCCTCTCTCCTCCTCCTCCTTCTTATCATTTTAATATAACCATTCCCCTCCTTCCCTCCCTTCATTCCCTTCCTTCCTTCCTTCCTTCCTTCTTCCTTCCTTCCTTCCCTCCCTCCCTCCCTCCCTCCCTCTCTCTGTCTCTCTCCTCTTAATAATGAATACCTAAGTCCACCTATTAGTTCACTTTAATAAGCATTTACTTTCAGATTTCTAGATAAGGTTCAATCAAGACCCTGATAATACTTGTTTGAGAATCCATCAACCAATGTTTAGAAATGATTAATAGTAGAGGATTCCTGTTTGTACTAAAGCCGGGAGCTAAATCCTTGTCACTAAATGCAGGGTCATTCACAGGCTAACCCAGCACGACTCCCCGCTGTACTAGAATGCCAGACGCTTCAAAATGGTACCTGTAGAGACAAGCCTCTTCTTTGAACCTCAGATTTGGTTTTATCCATCTATCAGAGCGTCAGAACTGCTGGCTTAGTTATTTACATTTGTTTTATGTTCAGCTGTCTGCTTGATTTATACTAATGTGATGTGTTCCTTTTCTCTCTTCAGCTTAATAACTGGTTTATATTTTGTTTTGATTTTTCAGTCCCGTCTTTTACCTTCACACCAACAGGTACATATTTGCACTTAGCCTCCTCCTCTCCTTTGTTGGTTTGGCATGTGTTGTACTATTGTGTTTCTGTTTTTATTTCATTTTCTGCAGTTAGTTGGGGGAAAGGACTTAAAATGGAATACGGTCCTTCATTTACTCATGTCAGGCATGCATTTGAAGTAGAAATGATTGGTGTTGCCTTTCATCCGTTTAATACAGTTATTTATTCATGATTCCACATCGCATCCTAGCCTTGTTTGCACGTGTTTCATTAGATAGACACTCTGTTTCTACCCTCAGCATGATTTAACATGCTAATGATCTTATTGATTATTTCATACTTGGCAGTGCATTTTTTTACCCTTAACTTAAGCCTTTATGTTTTCCAACAAAAATTTCTCTCCCTTGCAATTCTCTGTCCACAGAATCAACATTTTTAAAGGGAGTCAAAATACCCAGCACATGTGAAAGATAAAACTTTTTATTTTCCTGAAGTCAGAATCCTAATATTTTGTTCTATTCAATTTCTTTCAAAGTGGGTCCTCTTCTTTCACATCACCTTTTAGTAAAAGATGTACCTGTAGTCTTGCCTCCTCGGTTTTAATCCATTTAAAGTAATCACTGGAAGCAGTTATCTCTCCTTAACACACTCCCCGTTTGGAGTTCTTCTAAGTAGCAGAATTTGGCAGCTTTTAGAAACATGTTTCTTCTTAGAAAATGTGTCTGTATTTACAGAAAAGCTAATCTTCTTAACCTCTTGCCTAACTGTGCAAATCTCTATTTGTTATTGCTAAATTTTTATACCCATAATTCATTAGGCTGAGAATGCTTCCAAGAGCATTAAAATATAGTTTCACTATATGTACACATGTCTGATGAAAATGTAATGGGAAGGGGTTCTACAAGCCACAGGAAAAAATAGGTCGTATTAATTAACTGCCACTACTTGACATATATCTTTGTGTGGAGAGAGAGAGAAGGTTTATTTGAACATTTATCTTTGTCTTTCTGGTACTTCTTCTGGGAAAATAGCCTACTCATTTTTTCCCCAAATTTAAGATTCCAAATATGTATTTATATGTTTATATATATACACACATGTGTATATATATATATATATATATATATATATATACACACACACACATATATATACACACACATATATATATACACATGTGTGTATATATATATATACACACACATATATATATATACACGTGTGTATATATATATATACGTATATACATAATCATATATATATATACGTATATATATAATCATGAAATCATATGATCTAATAATTTAAAGTAGAAAACTATGGGAATGGGAATGTAGCAATGCATAATAGTTATATTTAATAAGAGTGCACTGAAGTTTGCTTTTACTTAGTTCTTAACTTTATTGGCACATTAAGAAAATAAGAGTAACATATTTAATGTTATACAATCTTAAAAAATATTAGTTGAATCAGAAATCTACTTTCTGTGATGGTTTTTATAATGTTTCTAGGTAGAAAGGGAGAAAATATCCCATTTTAAGAAAGATGCTCATGGATGTGATAGCTTTTGATATTTAAACATAAACCTGTCTATTAATTGTTTCTTTCTCTCTCTCTCTCTCTCTCTCTCTTTTTTTTTTTTGTAATATTCTAGTAACTTATCAGAGAGGCGGTGAAGCTGTAAGCAGTGGAGGGAGGTAACTATCCTGCTTGTTTTGTAGATCCTAAGGGAAATTCCAGGTATCTCATCTTGGCTCCCTCAATGACATCACTTTCTTTGCATAAAAGGTTGAAGTTGAGGATGAAATTTGTTCAAATCTTTTAGAAATACGCCATTCTGCTGTGCTTGTGGAACCAAGCTGGTTTGTATACAAAAGCAGTTGATTGGAGCTGTTGCATCTCAGTGAATGGACACCAGAGGGCGCACGTTAACCGGGAAAGACAAACTTGCTGATTTAGCGAATGATTAAAAGGAGTTAAAGTAATTAAGCAATGGCATTTATGAAGATTAAGAAATATAGCTAGTTAACAGATACTATCAAAGAGAAAGTGTTCATTTGAAAACCTGCTGAACACAGCATTTGCTCATAAGTTGTTGTAGGTTAGGTTTGTTTGTTGTTGTTGTGAATTCAACATAGTTCAGCTCTCACGTTGCAGGAAAATATGTTGAGATAAAAGAAGAAATCTGGGTAGCTTGTTAATACAGAGATTTTTTCCCTCTAATTAAAATGAACCTCAATCCTATATTTATGATTTTTTGTAATTATTATTCAGTGAACTTTAATATATTCACAGAGAAATCAGAAATTGATGTGACAGGCAGCTTAAAAGAGCTGAAAAAAGGTATATGTATGTGAGCCACGCTTCTGCATTTTCTATAATAAGATGATTTTTTTCCCCAAACCAGCAACATCTAGCTTAAAGTGTAAGAACAAAAATCTTCCAACCAAAACCATTTTATAATTCAAATTGAATGAACTTACTGGGTGTTCGGCTTTGCACAGTTGGATGTTGTGGATGGAATTGGAAAAGACAAAAACGAGTAAAAAATTCCAAGAAGCATACCATCTGATGACAAAATTACTGAATTTAGTATATGACAAAGAATGATTTTTAAAAAAACGCTGATCACCTTTAACCAGTGCTGCACAAATTTTGGTATCGAGGGCTAACCTTTTCTTCCCAGGTACCCATGCTAGCTTGCTGTTTTCATTCCTGTGAAACAAAGCCAGTCCCTGAAAGACTGAAAGCTAGGAGGTCTTCATAAGGAAGAAATTCACTTGATTCAGGAATTAAACCAGAGCCTGGTTTTGCATCCAGGAGAATTCCATCTAAATTGTAGCCCAGATAGTCATGAAACAGCCGCTGGGCATCACAACATTCTCTCGTGGATAAATCTGGACGGCCTGATTATAGAACCAGCTCTCTACATGTGTATGTTCATGACTGTAGACTTTCGCTTTTATCTTAACCATAGCACACAAAGTGTGCTGCGCTAGCTTCTGTACATGGGCACATGTACAGACTGTCTCTCTCTCTCTCTCTCTCTCTCTCACACACACACACACACACACACACACACACACACACACGCCCACACGTAAAATATTGCTGGTTGTTGTTCTAAATGGATTTACAACCTAGATAGAGCAAGTTATCAAACAGGAACTAATGGAAGGAATCCATAGTTACAAATAGCAAGTTTCTATGGCAGGACTGAGAAATTACAAGCTATCAATTGAAAATTAACAAACTGAACTAACTGTCCATTTGGAAAGCTTGCTGTATTACCATACAGAAGTAACCTTTTAAATTTAAAAATAGGATAACAGTGAAACTTCTGTATTTCAGATGCCAAATATTTTAAAAGCAAAATAGCGAATGAAATGACAAAAGATGCTGGAATATTACAGAGGCAACAGATAAATAAAGATCTTAGAATCCGTGCTCAAAATGATAGCTACAGACACAATTTTAAATGTATTTATTCATCGAACGTATTTATTGAATGTCTACCATGTGACAGGCACCGTTCTAGTTGCTTGGGATGCATCAGCGAGCAAGTCAATAAAAATTCCTGTTCTTATGAACTTTACATTAAGTATGGGAGATAGAAGATAAATAATAAAGATTAAAAAAGTGGACTACAGTATCAGCAGTTGGTAAGGGCTTTGGAACAAATAGATAGAGCAGAAGAGGAATCAGAGGTACTTTAGGAAGAAGTCTCATTTCCTAGCCAGAGTATGTATGTGGAGGGGGAGGGGGAGTTGCAGTGGGTGCACAAGTATATCTGTGTTCTACGATTCCGTGTGGGAAGAGAAGGGGCAGCGATCCAAACTCCTGCACTGTCTCCTCTCACGTCCATACCTTAAACACTGGTTTCCCTCAGGCATCTCAGACTCTGTGACCCTGCTCTGACCCTCCCACCTCATTCGGTTCATGATACCTAAGTTAAAATTTCTTTTTTTTTTTTTTGATGTTTATTTATTTACTTTTGAGAGAGAGAGAGCACGAGAGGGGGAAGGGCAGAGAGACAGAGAGAGAGAATTCCAAGCAGGCTGCACATTGTCAGCTCAGAGCCCGATGCGAGACTGGAACTCATGAACTGAGATATCATGACCGGAGCCAAAATTAAGAGTCCAACGCTTAACCCACTGAGCCACCCAGATGCCCCACCCAAATCACAATGTCAAGTCGTCCTTTCTTCTGCATCCATCATTGCCTTTGTTGAGCCCACTTTTTACCCCCTTCACTATCGCAACGCTGTTTCACATCCAACACTTGTTCTCCCCTGCCTAATCTGTCTCAAAAGCTCCCAGCAGCCCTACCTTCATCTATGTTCATCACTACTTCCTGTTTATTCCTTTGCCCACTGCAGCCAAAATGATATTTGGAAATGCATATTGATCATGTCTCTAAGTTCTTCCAGAGCCTGCTTTTAATAGAACCCACCATGTTTAAAATATCAAGTCCAAATTCAGCATAGCACGTGAAGCCAGCAGCCTCTAGTTTTTGCAGGTCTGTTTCCCACGTCTAAGTGCCACACCCTACAATCCAGTGTCAGCCCACCTGCCACTCGCCCCTGTTAGATTCTCTTATATATCTTCATTTCATCAGCCTGGAATGTGTTGCCCTCCCATGTCTGTTTCCTGAGCTTCACCTGCTGTGTTCTCCATGAACTTTTGTGCTGTGCAGATACCACAGTTAAGCACCTAACATAAGGTAATGCAGTGATCTTTTGTTTATATCAGGGTTCTGCAGATTAGGGCTCCTGGGTCAAGTCCAGTCGGCCACCTGTTTTGTAAATAAAGTTCTATAGGAATACGGCCAGACTTATTTGTTAATGTACTGTCCAGGGCTGCTTTCCCACCACAACGGCAGAGCTGAGTCATTGCAACGGAAATTATAATAAAGGAGAAGGTTGATCCCGAAAATTTTTCCTAGTTCACAAAATTGTGAATTGCGCTCTTCCCAGAAAAGGGAAAAAGAGGGTTGTGGTAAGCAGAGACGGCTGGCTTCCCTACTTAAAAAGGGCCAAAGGCTTGTGATATGATCCAGGAGAGGACCATAGAACTATTAAGTAGCTGTTCTAATTCATTTGTTTTCCCTACCTCAAAAATTCCAGTCACCTCTTCCAAAAACCCTACTTAAAATCCCAACCACAGCATAAACATGGGAACACCCGAGAAATCCTGAAGAAATGAGTAAGAAAATCAAGCCAAACAGGTAGAGAATGCCAATAAACCATTTCCTTGCAGTGGGAGGTGACAAAGAAGCAGAGCTCAGGCCTTGCTTCTCTCTAAAATACTGGCCACTCTTCAACCTATCCCTTGCTCCTTCCAGCACTTCAGAACTCTGGCAGACTATTAAAGGAAAGAGGAGACAGTCCACAGACACTCGTGTACTGTGAGGCCCCCGTCTTCCCTTCCCTGATAATATTGTCTTTTGAAAGACAAGGAAGAAATAAACAAAACTCAAATTATTAGTGTGAAAATACAACATCTAATAGTATGAGGTAAAAATATGTATTGTAGACACATTTTAATTACTGTAACCAGAACTGAGTTTTGCTTCTGCTTAATTTCTTATTGTTGGGCAGCTACATCTGCCTCATATATACTGGATCATCTTAAATGCAGAAAAATAGCCTATGAGATCTGTAGTTTAACAAGACCCTAACACCCTTACCATAGTAGTGGCATATGACCTTGACTTTTTCAGACCCCACTGAAATATACACATGGCATTTTAAGATTCATTATGGGTCAATAATCTATGCTTCACCTTCTTCCCCAAATAATTAGTATTCTAAATACAAGTTAAACCAAAGCCAGAAGGTGAATTGCTAATCCTACTTCCTGTTGGAAGTCACCCATACATATGGAAAGTTCTTTGAGTTTATGATGATATAAAAACGTTCACTTTAAAAGTACTTTCCTGAGGAATCATAAATATTGTCTACTCCTTTTGAAACATAGAAGTCGGCTGAAAAATTTCCACTTGACCCATACACTAGACCCATAATATCTCTACAGTGTCAAATACGGAAATTTATTTTTAATAACTTCTATAGTGACAAGGTTTAAGTTCAAGAGAAAATAAAATAAGGACAGTTAAAGATGACTAGATGCAGAATTTCTATACCCAACAACTATTTCAAAGGCTCCTGATATCTTTGATACAGCTTGCATTTAAATGTTTTTAATTTCCACAGCTCAGCAAAATTTCTCTTCAAAGCGTTTTTATCAACAATGTTACTAGTATGTTTGCTCAATTTTAACAGCGGTTATTTTGAATTTCAAGACTGCAGACATTTACCCCACTCAGTCTTTTATGTGAATGTTTAAGGACTTTGGGAAATTTCAGCATGCCCCACTATGTATGTTTATAATATCTGGGATTTGAGTGTGGATTCTAGAGCCAGAGTACTTGGGTTTGATCCCAGCCCTGTCACCCACTCAATTCCCAAAGCCATACACAAGTTCCTTAACCTGTGTCTGAGGAGTTTCCTCATCTGTAAAATTTGGATAATAGTAGTAACTACTAGGTAGTTCTAAGAATTAAATGAGTTGATATGTGTGAAGAACTCAGAGCAAGATGTCACTCGTTGTAAACAAAGAGCAAATATTCGTTTTTATGACAGATACATATACCCATATGCACACATACATGTGTATACAGACGTATAAATGATAAATCCATGTTCTTCATTTGGAGTGAATTATTTTTCAAATACCCATCACGTACGTAGTAAGTTTCCTCAGTTCCTGTGTGTCATGGAACCATGGAGGGTGAAGTGTCAGGTTCTTGCTTCGCAGGTAAATGAGATGCATGGTGATGTCATTTCAACAAAGAAAACGAAACCCTGAAGAAAATGTCTGCAGCGTCTCACTGCCAGTCCAATTATGGTGGATCTGACCCCACACCAGGAACCATCACCTCTTTTGCTGAGTTATCAGTCAGAGTCAATGTTGGAAAAGGACATCAGGAATGCCACTCTTTTTTTTTTTTTAAGTTTATTTATTTATTTTTATGTGGGGGGAAGGGGGGGCAGAGGAACTGAAGTGGGTTCTGTGCTGACAGCAAAAGCCTGATGCGAGGCTCAAACTCCTGAACCCTGAGATCGTGACGTGAGCCGAAGTCGGACGTGTAACCAACTGAGCCAACCAGGCGCCCCTGGAAGGGCATTCTTCAACTCTACGTCTCTGATGCTAGTGGTACAGGGCTCCCATTAATAACCATTGTTGTGCTTGGTTTTCCCAATGCACAGTGAAAGAGCATTAACATCTGTTGTGCCAAAAAAGACATGAACACTATTTCTTCTAATGGACATTTTTTGTTTTACCAGATTTAATTCAGTAGCGTTCCTTTGTTTATGTAGGAATTTATGGCGTTTTACATTGTCACCATCAGAAACTCTTGACAGGCTTACAGAACTGTGCACTGAAACATTGAGGAGGCTCTCTGCAAAATGTCACAGAGCCTCCAACTCTGTTCCTGAAACATGGTTTTGAAGAAAACTATGCAAATGTGCTTCTTGTGAAGGATCCGTTGTCTAAGTAAAGGCGCTTGTTCCGTTTTTTAATGAAGTCGTAAGAAGAATCATGATTTTTTAATGGGTCAAGAAAAGGAAGAAATGCAAACTGCCTCACCTATAATATTCTTTAAGCAGCTAAAACACTAAAAGATATATGTATCTGTATTTTTAGCTTCCATGTTTGATTTCTAGTCACTGTGAATAAAGGAGAGCATTGCAGATGGTACAGTATCTTAAGTCTGAGGCCCAACTGAGCCAGTTTACAAAGTTACAGCCATGTTAACTGAGGGACACCCCAGGACATTACATCACATTATAGTTATCTTGTCTGTGACATAAAAGGAACGACTATATCATTCAGCCTAGTTGACCAAGTTATTTGTGAGGATAATGAGATGGAGACTTTGTTGGAAGTTTGAATAGGAAATGATATTTGCTATTTGTAAAACATGTGCTTATATATGTATATATTCTTCCTTCAGGCCAGGACTTCTGAACATCGGTGAACCTGCCACACAGCCATGGCTGGCCGACACATGGCCTAATACTGGCAACAGTCACAATGACTGCTCCATCACTTGCTGCACTGCAGCCAATGGTAACAGTGATAGCAACCTGACCACCTACAGTCGCCCAGGTTAGAGATGCAGAGACCGCTCGAGATGTATAAGCACCAGAACTGGCCACAAGAAGATAGATTTCTTCCCCTCTTCCTACATTGGAAAGGAAAAATTGATCCACATTTTTATAAAATGTTGACTATTACCTAGCAGATTACCCTGGCTGTATATTGTCTTCATCCCTCTATCTCCACACTTCACCGTCCACCAGGGTTTCCCAGAAAGCCTGGGAGAATGGAGAATATAAACCCTAGAGCAGATAGCAAATGAGGAAAAATTAAATTGCATGAAGCATTCATCTTTATGAGGATGTATGTAGTTACAATTACAGTTATTTAATTTTCAAGATTTGGGGAATAAAACAGGTCAAAATGTTTATAAATGTATAGTTAAAGTGAACCAAATTCTTTTTTTTTTAATGTTTATTTATTTTTTGAGAGACACAGAGAAAAGGCATGAGCAGGGGAGGAGCAGAAGGAGAGATAGACACAGAATCTGAAGCAGGCTCCAGGCTCTGAGTTGTCAGCCCAGAGCCCAACGCAGGGCTTGAACCCATAAACTGTGAGATCATGACCTGAGCCGAAGTTGGGTGCTTAACTGACTGAGCCACCCAGGCGCCCATAGAGTGAACTAAAGTCGTTAATAGCAGTAACAAAAATAATAGCCACTGTACAACAGTAATAAAGAATTTTAAATGAAATTTAACTGAAATTCCAAATCAGATTTTTATCATATAGAAGTAGATGCTGAAGATATGAGAAATACATATCTTTTGGAGGTGTGAATGCATAAATTTACTTTATACTGTGTGTTTTTGGTTCAGAAATATGCGAGTAAATTCACAAAGGTTTCATGCTAAAACATGACTTTAAATTATAGATATAGAGTATGAAATATCTGAAGGAATAAATGGAAAATTACGGAATTCTTACCAAAAAAACAAAACAAAAAAACAAAACAAAATGAAAACCTTCAAAATTCACCATATGGGAAATACTAATATAATTATAAAGAATCAAAAGATAGGAGTATAGAAGTAAAATAACCCATGGGACTAAGAAAAAGGGATATAGAAGATGGCATGTAAGTGAAGATGTCATGTACCATAAAAAAAACAAATCGTAGAGCAGTCTGTATGTTTAACCTTAGAACAAGTCCACAGTCTCCATTGGATATGGCTATGGATGTGACATATCCATGTGACCGTGTTCCTGTTCTCCAAGGGCCCATATTCTAGTTGTACAGATAGGTGCTCACATGATTGCAAATAAAAGAAAGACTGTTCTCAGCCCTTTAGGAGACAAAAGATGACAAAACTCATTTAAATTAATATGTAGAGCTGTGTTGGCCAGTATGGTAGCCTCTAGTTACAGTTGGCTATTTAAATTTAGATTGAACAAAATGCAATTTAAAATTCAGTTCCTCATTTGCACCAGCCACGTTTCAAGTATTCAATAGGCACATGCGTGTAGTGGTTCCCATATTGAACAATGCAGAATAGAACATGTCCATCATTTCATTGAATTCTATGGAATCACACTCATTTAGAAAGATTGGTGAAGAGAAATGAAATTGGCAAAACTGTATGGATTTTAATAATATTTCTTAACCACTGTTCAATAAAACTTTATACTTAGAAATTAGATTTAGAATTACTAAGGGCCAGGTGAGTCAAATATTCTTGTTCCCGGATCATTTATTGTTAAAATGCAGAGTAGTTGAGTTGAGTATTATAGAGAAGTTGCACCTTTTTATTAAGATTATATCCACATTTACATCTTTAGTAGCAGCCTTGATAATTTATCCTCAAGTTATCCAGCCGAAAACCAATCTTTAAGGTGATTGTTAATCTTTAAGGTGAGCTGTTAATGTTAGTGCTGCTATGAATTACATGAATTAAATAATGGTATTTTTAACCATTGTAACTTAACAACTTTTTTTACTTAAAAATGTTTTAATTTTAAATTATGATTTTAGTTCTTCCTGCTGTTTTAATATTTTCAACTGTAGGCTTTAAATATTTCTATATGTATCAATTATTTCATTTTCTAATATTTCAACAAAGAGAAAATTAGAGGGAAATTGAAATAGCAGACATATTAGATATTATTTCAGGTTTTCTTTGATTACATTAGCCTGGTCACCTAGGCTTCATTTCGTCATCATTACTGTCATTTTATACTTCTTGGGGTATCATTATAAAACCATGAAAAAATGATTATATAACATCCTTCCTTGATAACGATTACCCTATATGACCAAGAGAAGAACTAATAAAACTATCCTAAACACTATTTACCTATCCCTTTACCTTTCTTCCTTATATTTTTTGAGTAGAGTTACTTCATAAAATATTAAAATCTCAAGTTCTTTGCTGTGTAGGCAGAGTGGGTTTTTTTTCCCCCTTTGTTTGGATTCTCAACATACATGTGTTGTTCTATTGCTTCAACAACTAACTAGTACCTTCAGATAGGTAACTCCAGGCTAGAAAATATAAATTTGGCACATACTATTACGGGGGTTGTTAAAAGAAAACTATCTTAAATCGGATGAACATTTACTACATAGCACTAGCAAAAGTTCAAAATTATTTTGTCTCTATATAATTTCTCTATGCCCTCTCTCATTTCCTCAGATTTTAATTGCCTTCTTTAGAAAGGACATATGAATACTTAGCCCTTTCTATTGCTCTTAATTCAGCCCATTTTGACTTTACATAACAATTTTATTGAGACTCACGAAGCTACTTACAAAGAAATTTAAAACGAATAACCATGCAGAATGACTTTTTCCTTTTCCTCTCCGTTGCACATAGCTGATTGTATAGCAAATTATAACAACCAACTGGATAACAAACAAACAAATCTGATGCTCCCTGAGTCAACTGTTTATGGTGATGTGGACCTTAGTAACAAAATCAATGAGATGAAAACCTTCAATAGCCCAAATCTGAAGGACGGGCGTTTTGTCAATCCATCAGGGCAGCCCACTCCTTACGCCACCACCCAGCTCATCCAGTCCAACCTCAGCAACAACATGAACAATGGCAGTGGGGACCCCAGCGAGAAGCACTGGAAGCCACCCGGACAGCAGAAACAGGAAGTGGCACCAATCCAGTATAACATCATGGAGCAAAACAAACTGAACAAAGGTGAAGAGCTTTATTCCCATGCTTTTCTTTCTTGGTCCCCTTAACCCTTCAGCACTACATGTCCAGACTTCTCTGGGACGAGCAAGTGAAATCTTCCTTTTGTTACTCACAGTTCCTTAAGTCTTTGTCTTCAAAGTTTCCAGCGTCAAAGAGTTAATTAGCACAACAATAACCTTGGAAAATTGATTTTATAATAATATATAACTATTTTCAAATGGTTTTGAGATTAATTCAAATTTAATCGTAGGTGAGGGATTGCTTGGCGCAATCTTTTATTCATAAGGCAGATGTACAACCGTCACAATACCTCACATTTTAAATAAATAGACTATCCCATTCTTTCCACTGGAGAATGGAAGATAATTGCTTCTATATGGTCATATAAACGAATGGCATTTTTATATCCAACTGAAGAAAAAAAAATTAAATTAAGCTTGAGCTGGAGAAGTGGTTCAGTTTGTTGGATTTCTCCTACCTCGTGTGGTTACTAAGACTGCTGCACTGTATGGGTTTAGAGCCTACATTTTTTTTTTTTGGTTGACTTGATTGAAGTCTGTCAGGATAGAACCTAAGATAAATGTTGTGTTAACTGGTAGCAGCAGAATAGTATTTCATAGCCTGAGGGGGATGTTTCTCTATTATAGTATGTGTGTGCGTTGGAAGAGGTATGTATTTGATTTCTTTGTAGTCCTATAGGCTACTGTTTTAATAGCAATGACTTGCAAAGTTCTACCTCTAGGGAAAAAAAGAAATCCTCTAATATGAATAGATCAGGGCAATTTTGCACAGGTGTCCAGGTAAATGATACCTTTTATTGTAGAAAATTAGAGCCACAGGTTTATTTTCTTTAGCCTTGAGTTGTGACCATTTTCTTCAAAAATAAAATGTATGACTGTCAGAGATTACAAAAAGGTAACTTTGAGAAACATTCTGTTTGTTCAAGTTAGTGTTGTATATTTTAACGGTAGAGTCATCCAGCTTTTTTCTAAGTTTAAGAAAAACACTTGATTGGCATAAAAATCCAGTTCGGTAAATATTTGTTAAGACTCTTGTACAAGATCATGACAAAGGCTGACAAAGGTGGAGAAGACAGTTTCTGAAGTCCTGTCATTTACAGTGGGAATTACAGCTATTGTTATATTACTCTTCCTTAGTATATGGCTTTACTGTGGACTTTGGAAGGCTCTGACAGTCCTCTAAACAAATATTTCAGAACTCTTTTTTATTGTTTATACTGCTTGTAACAGACTTGGTATGTCAACTGTAGTAAAGACCCTGTAATGCAACTAAACTGACAGATTATGACTCAGTACATTCCAGTAGCAAATTTATCATTTGGATTTTTACCTTTGCCTAAGTAAGCAGAAGCATTCCTGTGGCAGATTGAGATACTTTGTTTTCTTATCATGGATATGTTTTTTTTTTTTTTTATTAGATATAATCTTGCTGACAGGTTTCATGGGTTTTTTTTTATTCTAAAATTTTTAAATGATTTGCAGACATGGTACCTTCCTGATTTCTAAGGGTTAAAATTATTTTGTTGTTAACATTTTTAAAGTTAAGAAGTGATGCAATTCTGATTTCTGCCTTAGCTAATTTGAAAATATTTTAAAGAGAAGAAATCGTCCCTCATGATTTGTTCATACCTGTGTTTAGTCTGATTTATATAAAGGAGATGATGCAAAGAATCTGTATTTTATAAATCTTAAAGGAAATGTGCCTATCTTTCTTGACTTTTCCTCCTTTAGACTTACATACAACTTAGAAAATGCTCAACTGTTAACTTAAAAGCCTAATTGCTGGTTAATGACTAAGGCATCAAAGAGAAAGTAAAAGTGTTGTTTTTTTTTTTTTTTTTTTTTTTTTTTTCCATCTGAAATGTCTAGATTATCGAGCAAATGACACAATTCCTCCAACTATCCCATACAACCAGTCATACGACCAGAATACAGGAGGATCTTACAACAGTTCAGACCGGGGCAGTAGTACATCTGGTAAGTATGGAGAACCAAAGAGAAAGGCAATCTCTCCTTTTAAAAAGTTGATATCTTCCAGGATTACAAATTGAATGCGAATCAACTGATATACACATATGGCATGTTTAATCACTATATATAATTTGAAATTTTTCAGGCATCGGTCTTATCGCTGCAATTTGAGAGACAGTCCATTCACTAAACCATTATATGTTACATTTTGTAATGAAGATTAAGGATCTTATTCTCGTCCTTGTTAATGACCTTTTATAAAGCCAGAAGCATGGACTAGACTTGAAAGGCAGTTGAAACTTTTTTTTTGCCCTTGGCCAAGATAAACTAAAAGCATTGGACATATAGTTAATCTGCTAAATTTGTTACCATTTGAAACAGGCTATAAAGCACATAAAATCCAAGTACACATGAGCACATTCACAAGTCTAAGAGACAATAGCATGAGATCTAGGGACAATAGGAACCTGCCTCAGTTTATAATCTCTCTACTATCCCTCAGTTCTTGCTCCAAAGCCTCGTAAAGCGATCTCCCAAGTGAAGTGTGTAAGTGCCTTGGAAGCCACAACGCAGCCCTTCCCTGTGGTCTTCATGCTGTTGCAGCTGCTTGCCAGCTGTTTGCCTGATAGGGATTGCAGATGGGAATCTGCTGGTACTTAAGTCCTGTTTTTCTAATTAAAGGTGGTTCATTAATAGAACTAACATGTGGCAAGTCACACCATGATGAGAACAAAACCAACTGATCTTGACTCGTATGTTTCTCCAGGAGAGGGTAGAAATATCACCTCCCAATACCCAGATTGAAGTTGATGCTAGATGCTTTTAGCCAGTGTCTCTTCTCTTCTTGTGCAATGAATATGACCTTTGCATTTTATCATTTTCCCTTGACTAAGGCATGCCGATTTCACACCTTTAAGCCTGCATTTTGTCACTGATTGAAACTATTCCTATTTGAATTAAAGGAGCATAGAAATACCTCTTTCCCTTTTTTAGAGCTACTCTTATTCTACTATGTGTTGTTTGATTTTTTTTTTTAACAAATAAAATCTCACTAAGGATTTTTGCTTTAAGGAAATAAACCTCGAATTAACAGGAACTGTTTTAAGGATCTACTCTTGGGAAAACCATAGGAAATATTTTAATATTTGATATTTCATGCCATTTCATTTTTGAATTCTTAGCCACTTAAAGAGAAAATCATATCTTAATGGGGGAAAAACATGATTCTATATTATTAATTTTAAATTGACTTTCTCCATATTTCAGCTTAGAGCTTAGATATCTAGATCCTGGTTTTCTGCTGCTATTTATTATTCACTGTATTCTGTGAATATTTGGTAAAAAGATACAAAGATGTATAACTTAGTGTTAATTAGGGAAAAGAATGAAGCAAGCAAGTGACATGTAGGAAAAATATGTAATTTTAGGCATCTTAGGACAGACGGACTAGCTAGAGTAGATGTTCGCCACGAAATCAAGAGGAAGGCACTGGTTATGGTCAAGTCCATGATAACTGCACGATCATTCTGATACAGCTGAGTGGAGGAAGAGAGAATGGTCACAGACATGCGGAGGCCTGGCAGTCATATTTTATCAATAACAGCCAGTCCCTTGGCCCACACTTGGTACAATAACATACCCGTTCAAGAAATTCTGGCTTAACAAACATCAGTCATTGGACTGAAAATCCCCAAGAGACTTGAAAAAAGTAAGGGTCATTGAATATACTAAAACCTGTCTCATGCACCATGTAACTTGGAACTCTTTCAGAGAGGTTAAAACTAAAAAGACCAATAAAACTCACTGATTTTGGGGATCTTGTGAGAAAACAATTATAGGCTCATCATCTATAATTTCCATAAGCATCTAAAGTGTATCATACTGGAGGAGGAAGATAAAGATTATTTTATCCCCAAGTATCTTTTGACCCAAAACTATTTTAAAATGAGTACTCTAAAATGTACGTTTACCTGTGTTTAAAGAATATGCCAAATCTAAAATCAGCACACTGGGCACTTGAATAATTGGGCTATTTCAAACTACTGTAAATGTTCAAGCAACATCATTTTACTCTAAGCCACAATTTTATAGAAAGTGTGGCTAAAAACACTTCTATCCTTTTTAAAAATCACTTCTCTGCTTCTTTTGTTGTTAGTTATATTAGTTCTCCCAGCAATAATTTTCATCTGTACCTGCCTTTCTGACGAAAACTAGTAATTTCATTGTGCCTAAAACATTTCAATGGACAAGTACAAATTATATATATTCAGTGATTTAATGCAACAGTGGAACTCTAATAGATCGTATCTGTATCATATTGTATTTTAGGTTCCAGCAATTAAATAATAGAAAGTCACTTCAGAAAATATGTCTACAGCTCATTTGTTTTAGGTGATAATCCATAATGCAATTAATTGCTGTAAGAAGATCACTATTAACGATATGACTTGTAAAATTCATTTACGGCTTTATTGCTTTCTCGCTATTTATTTTGCAGTTAAACTTGGCAATCCTTTGCATGTTCTGTTGTACAAAGTTCTATTAAGATGAATGAAGAAAAGCATATTTATCTGCTCATATATATATGAATTATAAGATCATATTTACAGGTAATAATTCACCTGTGGGTAAGAGAAAAATCTTCAAGGCCAGAAGTAAAAGACTTGGGTTTTCTTTCTTTTCAAGGGAGTCAAGGGCACAAGAAAGGGGCACGGACACCCAAAGTTCCAAAACAGGGTGGCATGAACTGGGCAGACCTGCTTCCTCCTCCCCCAGCACATCCTCCACCTCACAGCAATAGTGAAGAGTACAGCATTTCTGTAGATGAAAGGTAAGAAGAATTTCAGAACAGTTGTACGTGGAAAGTCTCGCTCCTTAAACCCATAGTGAGTAATTATTAAACTAGATCACCAAGGGAAGACATCCCTAAGGTCCAGGAACATTTGTCTTGGAGAAAACAATGCTACTATGTCAGGAGGGCTTGGAAAACATCCTCAGTGCTGCCAAAAGAAAAAAAAAAAAAGGAATTTGTGCCCTAGAAGCTTCTTTTGGAACTAAGAATTACGAGTCATGAACATACACGCACATACAATTTGCATATATATTTTACATTATAGAGATATAACTGACATATATAATCATGAATGTATAAACATATAGAAGATCACATACATATATATCATGATATACACCGTCATGATTTTGTCATTTTTAAATATCAAAATTTCCGTTGCATATTCTTGAATTTTGATAAAATAAATGTGTGAATGTGTACCACAGCTAAGGTATCCTGAAAAATTTTGTTCGTTCCTAGATATTATCACATTATGCTGAACACTGTGGGAATTTAAACTTCCTGAATTGTCTCTCACAAGGTTTTAACAAGTGTAAATAATCATAGGACAGTGATGAGGAAGTTGATGTGCTTTGCTCTCACTGCACATTCTGTATAACTGGACATCATTCCTCCTAAAAAAGCAAAGCTGGTGCCTCATTTGTATAGTCAATGGAGGAGGACTCATGTGACATAGATAATTAACAAAAAAATATGAAATCTACCTGAAACTACTGTATTTTTAGTGACTCCTGTAAACATAAAGATGCTGTTCTTTCATTCTCCACAAAAAAGTAGTTTTACTCCTCCATGTATGCCAAGAAACAAAGCCTCTGTACCTTTCTTTTTCCAGTCATTTAATTAGCAAATACTGAGCCATTACTCCTAGGGGAAATACAGGGATAGGTTCCTGCAAGTCCCTGGCCATGCATTTTTGTCATCTGATCCATACATAATCTTGTTTTATGTGTGTTTTTGTTTCAAGACACCTTATGTAATATGTATCATTGATTCATTTACATGGAACTCGCAGCCAATAGTGCTATAGGTCCTGCCTGGGTAAAGCTTATCTAATGTACATATTTTCTCTGTTAGGGCACGTCATAGCCTTTTGCACTTAGGAGCACTAGATCACAGAGGCTACTTTAAACAGGTAAATTATCAATATAGAGCAAAAAGTTGAGAATAATGTGGCACTATATAGACTGTAGAAAGGATACTTGTTACAGTATGAAAGCTGAAACAAGAAGGTAGAGTGACTCAGATTTTTCACCATAAGTATTGACTTTGAGGTTACAAATAAATTTTAGCAAGTAGGTGAATTTGCAAGTATGGAATCTACAAAAAAAATCAGGATTGACTATTTTTATAAAAATTCATTTTCTGGGCTATATTAACAACATGTATTGCTATTTTAATCCACCATATAATGGACTAAAATGAAATAAGTGGATATAGTTTTTTAAAAGCCTGTAAGATGAAATGGTGCCCCAAAGGGAGAGACTGATTGTATGTGGGAAGAATGGAGATTTCCTGATCTGCTGGCTTTGTTCTTGACTTGGACAAATGATACAGTTCTCAATCAAGAGGAGGGGTTTTATGGACATTGGGACCACACAGAGATGTGGTCTCCTGGAGGACAAAGATGGAACAATGGGAGGGAAGGAGAGGAAGCTGGGAAGGCAGGTGTAAGCCAGATTACAGGTACTGGAATGTCTTGTTTGGGTATTAGTATTTTTCTCTCTAGTCAATTAGAGAGCCATTTATTACTATGCAGCAAATGAATGATCTGAGAGTGATGTGTATTATAATAAAGTAATTTGGGAAGCAATGTGAGGACTCAGAAGGATAGAGCGACTGGAGACAAGGAGATCGATTAAATGGTTATTGCAGTAGCACATACAACAGATTTTAGAAAGGTAATAGATTCTAGAGATTTTTAGAGATGAAACAGAGATGAACCAGGGAACAGTTCGAGGTAGAAGAGAGAGAGAGGAATAAGTCAAGATGACTACAAGATTTTTAGTTTCGAGAAGTGAACAAATTGCTGTTACTTGTTGAGACAGGAAACATAGAAATGATGTCAAAGGGAGGTAGTGGGATTGGTAAAATAAAGGAAGATACAAAGAAATCATGTTATGGGAGCATCATGTTTCCTGAGTTCAGGTGAACAAGGCAGGTGGTGGAGAATGAATGAAAGAGAGGGGTAACATCAACACAGTTTATATAATGCAGTAAATTACTGCCATCCGAATCAATAACCATTTGCCCTGGGGTTGGAGAAAAGAGAAAGACATGTTTCCCAGATCCATCTAGAGTTTCCACACAGCTCTAGCAGAGGAGTAGTGGGGCATTTTATTGTTTATTGACTATTTTATTTATTGTGTTTTTTATTCAATATCCTAAATGCAAGCCAACTACTCCATTTTGTGCTCAACTGAAGCACTAGTGATCTATCATAATTTCAGAGAAAAGGTGGATTTTCAGGAAAGGATTTTTCAAGCGTAATTTTTCTCAGAGGTTAACCTATCATCTCTGGGTCATCTGTAGGACCACCCCCTGAGTCTTTTAGAGATCATGTTGAAGTGGGAGCATACAATAAGTAAACCACATTTAAGAAGTACCAAGTTTAACTGCATTAAAGAGATTTCTTTATTGCATGACTTCTCAGAGCCTATAATATGCTAATGCAAATTGTAATCACTCAGAGAAAAATATTATATGTAGCATTTGCAAACCTTTATGATAGCGAGCTATTTTTTTTATGTTTATTTATTTTTGAAGGAGAGAGAGACAGAGCACGAGTGGGGAAGGGGCAGAGAGAGAGACAGAGAGGAAGACACAGAATCCAAAGCAGACTTCAGGCTCCGAGCTGGCAGCACAGAGCCCAATGCTGGGCTCAAACCCATGAGCTGCGAGATCATGACCCAAGCTGAAGTCCAGTGCTCAACCGACTGAGCCACCCGGGTGCCCCGTGAACTGTTTTTGTTTTTTTTTTTTTTAACAATATTCCCTTAACATGGCTCACAACGTTCAGATTAAAAAAAATTTTTTTTGAAGCTGACCATTCCACTAACTATGCAAATAATTCCTTTGAATAGCCTGCAGTAAATCCAGCTGTGCTTATGATTTGTTTTTTTAGTTATGACCAAGAAATGCCATGTCCCGTGCCACCAGCCAGGATGTATTTGCAACAGGACGAACTGGAAGAGGAGGAAGATGAACGAGGCCCCACCCCCCCTGTACGGGGAGCAGCTTCTTCTCCAGCTGCTGTGTCTTACAGCCATCAGTCCACTGCGACACTGACCCCGTCTCCACAAGAAGAACTCCAGCCCATGTTACAGGATTGCCCGGAGGAGATTGGCCACATGCAGCACCAACCCGATAGGAGGTACATTGTCACTAGCCTTTTGCTGACAAATCAGATAATTTCCACTCTGAAGTGGCATTTGGAGAACGCTATTATATGGAGTAATTTTCATGTCACATAGCCTTTTTCCCAGTACTGTCATGCAGTAAGCCCCAGTAATTAACATATCAAGTAGTAGTGTTGACCAGAACATTAGATTAATTGATCCCAGTGAACTTGCAACCATAAAATAATGTGCGTTACTACTCACCCACTTATGATAATTGCATTCGTAAGCACATGGAGAGCATGTGGTGTGTGTGTGTGTGTGTGTGTGTGTATATATATATATATATATATATATATATATATATATATGGCTTGCTACTCTTAGACCATTTTATTGATGATGCCTGTTTTTGCATGTTAGTTTTCCTTATGCATGGGTAAGTCACTGCTTTGGACTGTGGAAAGATTTTCTCCTGTCTTTTTAAGTTAAGTCTGCATAGTGATTTGTTCCCTCCTCTCTGTAATGTTGCAAAAGGAGTTTGGTATATTCATTTTGCTTTGATCTTAGATACCCTTATTTTGGTTGAAATATTAGGTTGGAGTCCTTTTGTCCAGTTTACTAAATTGTGTGTGTGTGTGTGTGTGCGTGCGTGCGTGTGTGTGTGTGTGTTGGATTTTTTTAACCAAAATTCAGCATTGCCAATCAATACATTTTTGTTATACACAAATAAATACTTCACTTGTCATTTCTACCACGTAAAAGCTATTACCGCATCATGTTAGCTCCTCTCATTGTTGATGATTTTGTTTGTACTATTTCATTACCCTTGAGACATTATATTTCACACACATATATATTTGTGTATATATGTATTCACAAAACTTTCTGTATTCCTAATATCATTCGAAACTGAGTATATTATTTGCCTCAGAAGATCGTCCTTCAATTTGCTTGAATAAATAATGCATTCTGATTTATACCGCTTGAATTCTGTAGATTAAAATAGAATTTGCAATGTTTATTAATTATTCTATCAGTAAGAGGTTCTTACCAAATTCAAATCATATACTCTCTAAAATAAAGGAGGTAGTTAAGCCTTCTTCTGTGTCACAAGGGGGAATTTAGATTGCCATACATTTGCCTTTAATAGTGTTAACCCTTGAAACCTCATGGAGAATGAGAACAAATAAGATGTCTCTTTCCCTATTAAGGTCACAGACCATCTCCACTGCTTTTATTGGAAGCACATGAGAGGCTCATGGAGGCTCTGAGTCCTGAAATCTCTCAGCATCCTCCTTCCATTCTCCCAGATCACCTGTTTCCCCACCATTCTCCTCTGTGTTGTAAGTGACACACAGTAGCTTCTTCCCAGTAAACTCCTTCTCTCGTGTTCATGTTATCCTCTCCACCTTCCTCAAATCAATCACAATCAGTTCACCTTTTATCTACCCTGATTTTCCAGCTTCTTCCTCTTCCGTGGGTTCTTCTTTCTCTTCACTGTTAATCCTACTGCTTTTCAATGTTCCCCTTTCTTAGCCTCCTATTCTAGTTATCTGCTCCCCTTCTACTCCATAGGGCTGTTTAATGAACTCTGCCTCATACTTCAGCCCACTGCATTCTGATTCCTACCATTTTGCTTCTGTTAGTCTACAGAAAGTAACCTACTAATGGTCAGTCTAAAGACTTGTCCATCTTTGGGGCACTTAGGTGGCTCAGTTGATTAAGCGTCTGACTTTGATTTCGACTCTGGTCATGGTCTCACGGTTTTTGGGATCGAGCCCTGTATCAGGCTCTGTGCTGACAGTGCCGAATATGCTTGGGATTTTCTCTCTCCCTCTCTCTCTTCCCCTCCCTCCCCCTCTCTGTCAATAAATAAATAAATAAATACTCTTTTTTTTTTAAAGACTTGTCCATCTTTATCATGCATAAGCTTTCTGCAGTGTTGGCAAATTTATAAGTTTTTGTGGGACTCAGATGAGATAAGGTATGTAAAGAATCTGAAGATAATAGTTTCCTACTGTCCTCACCTTTATGCCATCACCCCATTACTTGGTTCAATGATTACTTATATTCTGACGGCTTTCAAATTTATTTAGCCAGACCACCCTTTTTCCTGAGCACCACAATGGTATTTTCACTTGGACATCTCACACTACACTTGTCCCAAACCAAATTCTTTGTCTTTGCACTTGACCTTTCAAACTTGTTCCATTTCCTCCTTTGTTGGCTATCTTGTTTAACATCATTAATCCTTATTTATTTGACTCACATATTAAAAATAAAGTAGTTGGGGTGCCTGGGTGGCTCAGTCAATTGGGTGTCCGACTTTGGCTCAGGTCATGATCTCACAGTCCGTGGGTTTGAGCCCTGCGTCAGGATCTGTGCTGACAGCTCAGAGCCTGGAGCCTGCTTTGGATTCTGTGTCTCCCTCTCTCTCTGCCCCTCCCCTGCTCATGCTCTGTCTCTCTCTGTCTCAAAAATAAATAAAAACATTAAAAAATTAAATAAAAATAAAAATAAAAAAATAAAAATAGTCAAAAATCACAAAAAATGTGTCATTTTTAGATCAGCTGAATTATCCTGTTGTTTACTTTCTTCTCCTATCTTTCTACCATTCCCTAAATTAAATCATTCACAACCCCTTCATTTCTGACTTCAAAATATCTTTTGTTATTTTTGTTTCCATTCCTATAGCTACTAAGGCAGGCCCACCATCCCTATCCCTTGAAGTTCTGCCATATTCTTGAACTGATCTGCACTTTTCTGTTCACCCTCCAAGTTATCTTTCTTTACACACCACAAGTCTGGTAATGTGCCCCTGCATTCAGAGTCAGGTCTTGCTGTTTCAGCCCAGTGGTCAAAGCCTTCCTCAGTCCTTTCCCCTTTGCTTACCTTCTCCCTCCCAGTCTCCATACACCTTCTTTTCTAATTACTTTGTTTGAAATTCCCTGAATTTGCCTTAAATTAACCAACATCTGGTCAGAATTGCCACTTCCTGGCCCAGAAAGGGCTGCTCTAGAGCTGGCAGGAGAGGCAGACCACTCTTGCCTCTCATGGCCGTCACCAAAATTTGTAGTGTCCTCACTAGGCACACATGTGTTAGCACATGCTGTTTCTTTGATTGCCTGGGCAAGCACTTCTCATCCTTCCAGACCCTGTTAAAATGCATCCCGTCTGTAAGACTTTCATCTGGCTGCCTGGCAAAAATCAACCGATTCTTTTCTTTTCTCCTCACAATGGTCTTTTCACAGCTCTGCTACCATGCTGATCAGTTTTCGTGTTGCATTACGGTTTGCTATTGGTACGTCTGTTTTGCTATTTAAATTAAAAACTCTCTGAGGGCAGAGCTCATGCCTCACTTTTGTCATTGAGATTCTACAAAGCTTACCTCGCTAAGTGTTTGATGAAAGGAGTCTGATACCACAGGACAACTAGAGTTGACTTACCCCCTGCTGCTTTAGGGGGATGAATATTTACATGAATTCAAAATGAACATGCATAATTGGCAAATGTATTGGTTACCTGCACTTAAAATCCTATTTAATTATTTCCAGCCTTTTTTAAATGATGATTTTCAGTCTATGAAGGTATTAAGAATTTTGTTTTCAAGATTGTGGCTGGAAATAACACTGGACAGTAATAAGAAGTAGGTGTGGCCCATTAAACGACAGTCACAAAAAACTACAATGGCTCTTTTATCATGCAGTTATATTCTACATGTTTACTATAGAAATATTTGATAATACAGATAAACAAAATGAGAATGCAAAAGTACCAATGATAGGTGTCGTCAGAAATAGTCACTGTTAAGACTTCAGTAAAGATCTTTGCAGTTTCTCATCTCTGTATATACTTACATTGCTTTGAATTTGTGACGTGCACATGTTATTTTATAAGCTACTCTTCACTGAATGGTGTATTTTTCCACATCAATAACTTTTTATTTAGATACTCATATTAAACAAAAGCATTCTGTGATTTACTTAAACAATTCCTTAACATTGGAATTTAAGTTACGTCTACATTTTTGATACAGTGCTGTAATTCTCATCTCTAGTTAAGTCTTTGAATAACACCTCCTCTCAAACCCTTGACCTATTCAGATGCCTGCCCCATCAGCGGATGGCTTCTGTTTCTCATCATCCTGCCACTCCCCTAATGACGTACTCATTAAAGATAGATAGCTATTTCTCTACAGATTTCACTCTGAGCATCAGACCCTTATATCCAAGTACTCGTTCCTATAGATTTCAGCTGCTTAAATATCACTGAGAACAATACACATATCTCCAGCCATAAAGGCACTTTCCAACCTCCGACAGCCATTTTCTCTCGCCTGTATTACTGTAATGGTCCATAAGTGGTCTTGTTGCCTTTAGCCTTGCCCCTTCTTCAATCTAATCTTCCTGCTGCAGACTGTGCAGAGGCATTTTTCCTAAAATGCAGCACTGATCAAGTCTCTCCATTGCTTAAAATCTCTCAATGGCTTCCCATTTCCCTTAGAATAAAGGCAAGATTCCTTAATGTAGCAATCAAAGCCCTTTGTGATCTGACCTCTGCATGCCTTCCCATCCTTATTCATCACCACTCACCTCTTCTCTGTTCATGGTGCCTTCACTCTAAGTTTCTTCTAGTTCCTGGAATGATCAGTGTTCTCACCCACCTTGAGGTCTTTCCACATGCCATCCTGTTTTCCGGGAACACCATTATCCTCACTCTTTTTTGGAACTAACACTTATGTATCTTTTAGATCCAAGATTAAATGGTAGAGGCTCTCCGCAGAATCTTTTTCTGATGTCCCAACTCTGAGATAGGAGCCTATTCTATGTGTTTCCACAACACCTTAGACGTCCTCTGTTTGTGGATACCTTATTATCATTGCACACTTAATTAATTGTTTGTCTCCTTTACTGGATTAGAAGCCCCTTCAGGTGAAGAACAAATCTACTTATTTAGCAGAATTTCTAACATGATGCTTGACTTCCGCTTTCTATTGCCGCCTAACAAACTACTCTAAAACTTAGTTACCTAAAACAACCATTTTATTTTCCTCACAATTCCATGAATCAGGAATTCAAAAAAGATTCACTTGGGCAATTCATCTCTAATCCACATGGCTTCATTTGGTCTGTTGAGCCTGGAAGATTCACTTTGAGATCAATTTTTTTACTCATGTGTCTGATATCTCAATACCCTGTGGCTTCTCTCTGTCTCTACCTCAGGTCTCATCTGTTACGGTCTCTTCAATCATAGACCAGGATTCTTGTAACATGGGGATCTCAGGGTTGTAGCACTTCTTACATGACAGCAGGCTTCCAGGAAGGCAGGAAGAGGAAGTTTCCAGGCCAGTTAAAAGCTACACTCAGAACTGACACAGTTTCCTTTTGCTGTATTCCATTGGTCAAAGTGGTCACAGGGTCCACCTGGATTCAGGAGTATAGAACTAAATTCCCTTCCTGGATGGGGGAGTGGCAAGTTCTCATCCAGAAGAGCATTTGGAATGGGAGATATTCTCATGGGCATCGTTGCAAAATACACTCTGCTGTGGCCTGATATATAGTTGGCTCTATTAAGTATGTATGCCTTAAAATCATATCCGTTTATGACTCGAGTATAAAGCATTCCCCAGGCTTTTTTTGCTTGTGATTCCTTTGGTCTCTGAACCTAGCAGTCCTCACTGTAATAGGGGCAGAGTGAATATTTAAAGAATGAATTCATTTTTTACTGTTATGTTTATTGATTAGGGGCATAAATAAACAGTATGATGTATATTAATAAGAAATTACTGAACTAAAACCATTATATCACTGCAACATTTAATTAAACATTTCAGACTGGCTTTAATATGGATATTGCCATTCCGGCATTCTAATGAGCTTGTAGACGTTCTCTTCTTGTCTAATACTAGGTAAACTAGGTGACCAACATAATAGTAATCTTTCTTCTCCCTTTTCAGACAGTAACTATGAAAATCATATAATTAAACTTATTTGTGTATACTGTTTCAAAAAGTAGTCCTACTGAGTTTACTGTAGTCGATATTTAGCAAAAAATTCTCAAGTAGAAAAAGTAATTTTCAGGTATGGGCTAAGAGATTTACCGATGTCTTATTAATATAGACAAACTGAATATGATACATTTGGAAAGAAAAGACAGTAAAAAGGCAAAGGAGAATTAAATATCTTGTCTATTTACTAACTGGGTAGTGGTTAATTCTACAGAGTATTGAAGCTACAACAGTTTTAGAGAAAAGCTCAAAAGTATACATTTCCCCCTTTGTCTTTTGCCTGGTAAATTGTATGTGGTGAACTATATAAACACCTGCTTTCATAAATTAATGGCATTGTTTCCTGTCTTCTCTTGAACATGTTTATGAAGACATCATTTTTGTAGGAGCCTAGAGTATTGTGATTTGCAGTCATATACTCGTACATTATTTCAGAAGATGTTGAAACCCCTCAGGGAGAAAAATCTAGAGGGTTGAGGTTCATTTGTGGCAAGTCCCACTTGAGTGCGGCATCTTGAAATAGCTTTTTGTTTTCAAATAGAATATATTGCATATTTCAAACTGTACATGTTTATCACACATTCCCTGGGCTTGCCTTATTTACAGATGGTTTGAATAAATTTTTCTCTCTTTCCTCAGCATTTGCACAGGGATAGTAGTTAAAAGCCAGGCCTTGTTTAACATGGAGCTGCTTTTGCTGTACAAATGTGAATTATCCAAATACAACAATGCTGGCTTCCTTTCATAGTGAAATTGGCTGTTCTACATCCCTTTATTGATGGTCAGAATAGTCCCCTTTGTGCTAGAAAGTCTTACATGTCTTTAAAAAAAGAAGTTTCTTGTGGTATTTTGGATGTGCATGCTGACAAAGACTGTAAATTGACTTTTAAGTATGGTATTTTATTGCAGTCCAAATTAAACAAAGATTTTCCTCTTATGTGTACAACACAGTCCATACTGAAACAATTATCCATTTTAATCTCTTAAATAATTTCAGCTTTGGCATATTCTCCATATTTCTTTTATTGCCACACGCAGATGCATTAGAAACCACCCAGGAAAAAAAAAATAGCACATTAAAGAACTGTGTACATATGTACATATATATGTGTGTGTGTAAATTATTATGTTACATATCATATGTATGTATATGTATATATGTGTATGTATGTGTATATGTATGTAATAACATCATTCCTAGAAGGAAGGTGTTAACCTGAGAAATGAAATGTGGGATTAAATTCTATATTTGATACATACTAGTGGGAATTTGGGCAAGGTCTTTAATTTTTCTGAATTTCAGTACCTCCTCTGTAAAATGGTAATAAAAGCAGTTCCATGGAAAGCTATTGTAAGAATCAAATGAGTTGGGGCACCTGGGTGGCTCAGTCGGTTAAGAACCTGACTCTTGATTTCAGCTCAGGTCAGGATCTCACTGTTTGTGAATTTGAGGTCCGCATCAAATTCTGTGCTGACAGAATGGAGCCTGCTTGGGATTCTCTCTGTCTGTCTGTCTGTCTGTCTCTCTCCCCACTTGCCCCCGCCCCCGCCTCTCCCCTGCTCTCTCTCTCTCTTTCTCTCTTTCTCTCTCTTTCTCTTTCTCAAAATAGATAATAAACATTTTTTCAAAAGGATCAAATGAGTTAGTATTATAAAATATACTTAGTTACAAAATAAGTGCTCAATAAATTATAGTATTTTAATGATCATTTATTTTTAATGCTTTCTATTTGTGTTAACAAAACATGTTGATTGAAATGTCTCAATTCAGTGAATTTAAAAAGCACAAAACGTTTTTCTTTGAGCCTCTGCCATCTCACCCTCAAAACTGTGCTTTATTGAACTTCCTTTATTTCACTATAGTAGGTCCCTTAGATTTTGACCAGATCCTCTATGGCTTTGTTTGTTTGCTTTTTTTTTTTTTTTTTTTTTTTTTTTTTTTTTTTTTTTTTTTTAATTTATTTAAGGCCCAATCCTATTTTTTTTTTTTTTAATTTTAATTCCGGTATAGGTAACACAGAGTGTTATATTAGTTTCAGGTGTACGATATAGGGGTACAGCAGTTCTTCACATTACTCAGCACTCAGCACCCGCAAGTGCCCTCCTTAATCCCCATCACCTATTTCACCAATCCCCCACCCACCTCCCCTTTGCTAACCATCTGTTTGCTAACCGTCTGTTAAAGAGCCTGTTTTTTGGTTTGAATCTTTTTTTTTCCTTTAGTCATTTTTTTGTTTCTTTTTTTTCCTTAAATTCCAATTCTGTTCATTTTACAACTATAATCGTGCACTTCCAGACATCCTTTGCAGATAGTATCTGTCTGTGGTTATGGTGGCATGGAGTGAGAGGGCATTCCCTGCTTTTAACCACTTTCATCCTCCTCCCTCTTCGGGATCCATTCTCCTAAAGGTAAGGCAAGGAAGAGGGAACTTAAAAAAGGACAAGGTAGTTGAAGATCCAGTCTTCTCCTTGGTTAGCCCCGATGAGTATTTTATGTCATCTGGCTTGTGAGTATTATAAGAATGGTGAGGGAAATGGGCTGGCACCAACTTCCTCCCTGATGAAGGACTCAATCCTGGGCAGCATCTCTAGGCATTTGTAGTCCTTGAACAATTCAGCCACATCTTTAGGTGGATTACCAGCCAGTGAAATGCATGCTGTGTCTTTCCTAGCCTCCCGAACTGTGGAGGTGACCAGATGGCACTCGATCCTCGTCTTACACTCCTCTAGTGCTTATGCTCAGGTTGGCAGACTGGTGTGGAATCTATCCTCCTTACTTCTCAAAGGCACAGGATTTGAAAACGTATTGTTATGACCCTTCCAAATGACATTGTCCCTTATGTCATCTCTTTAACCTTGCTTAGAGAGCATTGGGACTGTTGAGTAAGACACTGACTAAGCAGTCGTTCAACTAGAAATCACTAATGTCTTCCTTTTTGTCAGACACTTTTGTAAATTAGGAGTTAATCTCTGGGCATTCTCCCCCCCTCCCCCATCGGGAATAACTTCTTTCCACAAACCTTACTTCGATGAAGTCAGAACACCCTCTGTCCTCTCAGTCATCTTTGCATCTTATACTCACTGTGGGTGACGGTGTCAGATGGTGGTAGAAGTCTACCTGATGTTGTTCTCCAGGTCTGTGGAGAGACGACTGAAAGTAGTTATTGGTAACTCTGTGAACCTAAATTGTACAATACCACTCACATTGTCCTCAGCTTTTGCCCTTAACTAATTCCAGTATATCAAGAAAATACCTTTAAGCTTTTTATTTAACGGACAGGTGGAATAATGGTGAAAGTGATAGGCTTGAAAATAGCTAATCACCTTTGGTGTATAATTAATTCAGAGAAAAAATGCTCTTGGCATGCATAGCCTTTTATTTTAATAGAATCTAAAGGAAACTGTCATATGCTGAATGTGTAATTGTTCCATCCTATGAAATTCTACTCTCTGTAGTCAGAACAGATGAGTCCATTTGCTTGGAATGGTAGGAGTGGAAATGAAGAAAAGGGAAAGAAACAGGTTTATGGAGCAATCCGTTTCAGAACTGATGTCTGTTGTCTTTGGTAATAATAATCTATCAGTAGTATTCAATAAGCTTTAAGACAAGTACATAGGCATATGTTTCCAAAGAATGTTTTACTTCTCCTTTTTTAATTGAATATAATCCAAAAGATAAAACATAAGGAGACTTACAGGTAGCTGAGTATATTCTGTTAACCTTGAATTAAAAGAAAGCCCCGCTTGGTTAAATTAGCTTCACAGAAGCAAAGATCAAATCAGTGTACTCGTGAATTTCTTGGATAATGTATTTTGTGTATGTCCTAATAACGAGCTGAGCCAAACCTGTTTATTCATCTTCCTGCAGACGGCAGCCTGTGAGTCCCCCTCCACCACCACGACCGATTTCCCCACCACATACCTATGGCTACATTTCAGGACCTCTTGTCTCAGATATGGATACGGATGCTCCAGAAGAGGAAGAAGATGAAGCAGACATGGAAGTGGCCAAGATGCAGACCAGACGGCTTTTGTTACGTGGGCTTGAGCAGACCCCTGCCTCCAGTGTAGGGGACCTCGAGAGCTCTGTCACTGGGTCCATGATCAATGGCTGGGGCTCAGCCTCAGAGGAGGACAACATTTCCAGTGGACGCTCCAGTGTTAGTTCTTCCGACGGCTCCTTCTTCACCGATGCTGATTTTGCCCAGGCAGTGGCGGCAGCAGCAGAGTATGCTGGCCTCAAAGTGGCACGTCGCCAAATGCAGGATGCCGCTGGTAAGTTGTGCACTTTTTACCAAGTTGGAAAAGGAAACTCGGTATGTTTATGTCACTTGATAATTACCGCCTATGATCTTGCGTCTGATGTGAAATGCAACTATTACTACTGCCTTTTATTTGCTGCCTAAGGAAACTAAGTTTCAAGAATACGACATAACTCAGTTATTCCCTTTCTCCTGACAAGACTTTTTAAATCTTCTGGTTTATTTTTATTTAATAAATCCTGTATGTGAGTGGCACTCCCTGGGAAGTTCTTGTTTTTACAAAAGTCGTAGCAGATATGTATACGGTTTCTTTAGGTTTGCCTATAGTCGGCTGAGGTTTGTGTTACACGATTTTTTTTTTTTAAGGTGCAAAAAGCAACCAAAATAGAATTCATTGCGATAGTTCTCTTATACTGTTATCTAGGAGAAATAAATGAATTTCCAGAGGGGGAAACGCCACCATTGGAAAATGGGCTATTTGTCCTTAACTCCCATGCTCTTCATGCCCTCTCAGAAGACTACTTTAATGAGAAAGGTCGAAAGATGTGTGTAATATGCATATATTTTCAAGCATACATGTTTCATATTTAAAGTAAACATTTTAATCTAATAACTTGGAGATAAGGTTAATCCAAGTGCTCGTGTATTTTTTTCTGTTTTCTTTTTTCATTACCAGTAGCCTGTTTTCAATGATCATATATCTATCCTTACGTTTTGACCCATTTTTATTTATCTCCTACTCCCAACCTTGAGTAAATAATATGGAAAGGGAAAGAATTTAGATTTAAGCCAAACATTTATCACATAACATTTATCTCCATAGAATGTAATATATGCATATATATACATATTTTACATTCATATACACATTGTGTGTATATGAATTTCTGGTAGCCAAAAAAATACAAATATTTGAGTAAAATAATGTAGCCAGCAAAACACATTTCACAGAAATAAACAACTATCACAACATATCAGTAATTGCTATCTTGTTTTGTTGTTTTCTTTTTCTTAATTTAGTAATTGTCACATAGGTACTTTGCCCTGTTCTCTTCAGATACTGGATTGGTCATTATTTTTTATCATTTATTGAATATATTCAGAGAAAATAAAGTTATTTCTATATGTTATTTATCAGGAATGTGTTGTGGGGGAAAAAAAGTCTAATAATACCTTTCGACCTTTTTTGTAGAACATGTATTTGTTTCAGCCATGCTGATATTTTACGAAATTCAACCAAATTTCCCCTTTTTTCCCTCAGTAGCTACTAAATATAATAAAATAACTATCCATACCTACCTATCCTCCTTAATAAATAACATCTAACTGTATACATAGCTTTTATTTCTTCTTATTTTTTAATTCTCTATTAAAAAAAAAAAAGAAAGTGAAATTAAGCCTCCCAAACTACTGCTTTCAGATTGCATTAAGGGTGTGTTTCAGTTCATTAAATCAACAAAACACTGAAATAACATCAAAAATTCATCTGTAAACGACCTTACGCCTCAGGGTCTATGAGCAGTAGATGGCTTTACACAATAGAATGAAGAATGTGCTCAGTCCCAGCCCTAATTCTCTCTTTTCATGGGTATGTAACTTTAATTGGAATAGTCTCCATCATGGCTAAAGAGAGTTTGGTTTAATATTTTATTGTATTGTAATTTAGTGGCACTTCTGGTTTTCGTTTGACTCATAATTATAATGAACTAAACATGCATTGGCCTCTGCCTGTTAAAATGGTCTTTTCAAGAAGGGGTGCTGCTTTTCATATGACTTGAAGTTAATATGAATGAACAATCCAATCAAATTGCTTCTCACTTGGCCACATTAGTGTATATTATTTAATATGCTTCAGTTAGCATTTTTAAATACATTGGTTTCACTGTATGTGGCCTGTCTATAGCCAAAAGACATGTTGGCTAGTTCAGTTTGAAGTTTCTTGTAGTACAACAAAAAATTCCGGATTTGTGTGCCTGGAATTTCTAGAAACCAAAATAATGAAGGTCAAGTATAGGGCCACAATTTCCCTTGCCATTATGGATTAAATATGTTGTGCCGTTGTAATACAACATGTCTGTAAGACAGCCAGAAAATTGGAGAGGACTGAGATGTACCATGTCTAACTAGCAAATTCAGTTATCACTGGTACCTGCAAATATTAACCTCCCCCAAAACAAAAAAAAAACAAACCACCTCTACTGCTACCAAAAAAAATAGAAGTTTCTGGAGGGGTCACTTTAAGTATCCAGAATCAGCAAGTAAACATCAAAGAAAAGAGCAGAAGTAATTTTAGACGAGTCTAAGTATGTGAGCTACCTTAATTTCAGGCCTGCTTAAGATAAATACCTCAGAATGTATTAAGCTATTGGGAGTCTGCCTTCAAAGAATAGCATATCTATTTAATTAAAATAAGGGAAGTATTTAGTACTGTTCATTCTTAGAATATGAATTTCTTTTTTTAATTTTTTTAATGTGTATTTATTTTTAAGAGAGAGAGAGAGCACGAGCAGAGTAGGGGCAGAAAGAGAAGACAGAATCCGAAGCAGGCTCCAGGCCCTGAGCTGTCAGCACAGAGCCTGACACAGGGCTCAAACTCACAGCTATGAAACCATGACCTGAGCCGAAATAGGGCACTTAACCAACTGAGCCACCCAGGCACCCCTAGAATGCAAATTTCTTAAGGAGTCTGGCTATTCCCTTGAGAAAGCAACAGCCACTAAATATACTATGCAAAAATTTAATTAATATCTTTGTTTGCTAATAACATTTTAGTGAAATTAGTTGGAAAAATAATTGGGTTGTTTTTCTTTAATAAGTGGTATCAAGAACTTTAACAGAATAAAAGTACTACAGTTTAAAAAAAAAAAAAAGACTGGCAAATGCTCTCTGCGCATTTTTTTTTTCCAGTGGATGGGTCAAGCAAAATGACAAAAATCCTATTATTTGCTGGATTAGTTTATTTCAAGCTATTTTTAGGAAATTAGGGATGCTGCTAGTTGCACTGTTTTCCTTTTATTATTATTGTTATAATTAAAATTCATTGATGAGTTTGGCTCTGATTTTTTTTTTTCCTTTTTTTTTTTACTCAGGCCGCCGACATTTTCATGCATCCCAGTGCCCAAGACCCACAAGTCCTGTTTCTACAGACAGCAACATGAGTGCTGCGGTAATACAGAAGGCCAGACCAGCCAAGAAGCAAAAACACCAGCCAGGACATCTGCGCAGAGAAGCCTACACAGATGGTAAGTCCATTGAAACGCATGAAAACATCTATGAATCTCGCCTATTTTCCCTGGCTCTCTAGGACTAGAAAATGCATCCACTGGCATTAGAAATTACATTTAAAATTCATTAATGGTAAGCTGCATATTCCTTATCGAAATGCTCGACTTTGGTATCTTTGTTAAGCATCTCTAGTACTTCTAATGATATGGTTATTTAAGAAACTAAGAATAGTGTATACTTTCAATATTTTTAAGAGGTTATTTTTGTAGTTGCAAGCAAATAGACTTTACTGTAGCTGAAGTAAGACAGAGAAGCAGCCTTCCTCACATTCACTGGTAAATCTTCCGAAATATCCTCTCTCTTTTTTTGCTTTGCTTTTGGAATTTGGCATTCAAATAGAAAATAGTAAACTTATTTGAATGTTAATTCTGGCTATAGCGGTGTTACAGTTTATTTTGTGCACCGAAGGGCAAATCGAATCATCTCCTTCATGCCTTCACATACAATATCGACTCTCACTGAAGAGGTAACGCTTGTATTCTCAAGGGAGCACAAGAGACTAATGCAAACATTGTGATGTTGTCTAGAGAAAGCCTTTAATGAAAGTGCCTCAGGTGGCCCAACATTTATTAAACCGCCACCTTCTCGTTTTATAAACAACCCCAAGGGCTTTGTTGAAAATTCATGTAAGATAAATTCTCTCAGACTCACCCATCTTGTCAAGTTTGCTACATTTACTAAAGGGGTGGGGAAAGAAGGGTGTCACAGACATTGTCCCACACCTCCTGGTCTTCTCCAACCACAATCTGATTAGGACTTTCATTACCAGTCAGCAATTTTTCAAAAAGGGCATCATTTGCCATTATCATATGAAAGCCTAATATTATAGATCCTTATCCGAGGTTACAAGGAGGGTTTTCTGAGGCACTTTTCCCTGTGATTCCTGCCACTTGACAGAAAAATTTAATACAAAGCTCCCAGCATGATGAGCACAAGTAATTTTGCAATGAGTGGCTGTCCATGCTATTATCTGTACTTTATTCAGAGTATTTTCTCTCACTAGCATCTATCTGATATTAGACTACATTAAATACTGGCATGACACAGCGCACCTGGGCCTCCTGGCTTCTGCCCAGGACTCTTTTGTCAGTGAAACTGAGCTGTCAGAATATTATCTGATTTTGAAGGGTTATTACAGTGGCTTTGTGAATGTTTGCCTCTGTGAAGGGACAAACACTAGGTGTAAATCCCCAAACTCCATCGGCAGTTTTACATTTATGGGACCCCTGTAATGGCATTTTACAAGTTTTATAGCTGTCCTATCAGTTTTTATTATCTGGGAGAGGGCGCTCCTGACTGAAAAACTGGAAAACTGGTCGAACATCAAACCTTGATATAAACATATCTACGTTAAATACATAAGGGAGAAAATCTGACCTACAGCTTTGTGTAGCTCTTTCTACCTCATTCTTTACACTTGTTTTCAGGGACTTCTAGCGCTCAGTGATGCTTTTTCAAAATGTTTTAAATAATGTGAACATGCCGAGTTAAAGGGCATGGTAACACAGTTATGAACTACACTATGCTTGAAAATTGTGATCTGTATTTATTGTCCCGCATTCTGCAGTACTTTTTTCAATGTGCTTAATAATTAAATATGAATTCTAACTCATCCCGGAATAGTAACTGTTACACTGAATGATGAAACACCTAAGTTATTTTTTCAAAGTTAATTTTAGAATACCAAAGAAATACATTGAAATGGTTAAAGCCAAAACATTAATTTGAAATGTTATTTGGATTTTTCATTGTTTATTTCACAAAAGTGATTATGCAAAATTATCATGGATCTAAAGTCTTGTAGAAGCCAATAATTATTTTCCCAAAGTCATAAAAATAGATAAAATGAGGAGATATGACTAAAGTTATTTTTACAATTTTAGCTTTAACTTCCTTTCAGCATTTTGATAACCATCTGTCTCTTAGTGATGTTTATTGTACCAAAAAGTCTTGAGTTTAATTCTGGACACTTTCTGATTTGAAGAAAAAAATACCAAAATATGTGTGTTACTTTATGCATATCCCACAATACATATTGATTAAGTAAAATCAAGTAAATGCAAATACTTTTTTATGCATCAAATAAGAGAAATGCACATAGTCTTGTTAGCAGTGGCTATGACATGGAAACCAAAGTCATTTTCTCAGAAATTATTTTCTCAAAATACTATACTGCATTGTTTGAAGAAAAAATCATAGACTATTTCATGAAGAAACTCAGTGGCAGACACAATTTGTACAATTTATTAAGAAAGAGAAAGGGGAGGGGAAAAGAAAGAATTTAGAGTTGCCAATTGTTAAAATGTGCATTAAACATGAGGCACAAGGGTGGCTCAGTTGGTTAAGCATCAGACTTTGGCTCGGGTCATAATCTTCCCGGTTTGTGGGTTCAAGACCCGCATCAGGCTCTGTGTTGACAGCTCAGAGCCTGGAGCCTGCTTCTGATTATGTGTCTCCCTCTCTCTCTGCCCCTTGCTCGCTCTCTCTCTCTCTCTCTCTCTCTGTCTCTCAAAAATAAACATTAAATTTTTTTTAATATGCATTAAACATGTTCGTAAGACATGGAGGGTTTTTTTTTAATTTTTGTTTTTTGATGATTAAAATCTTAACTATGATGGATGAGTTTGATGACTATCAATAGAATTCCTTTGTTAACTATTTTCAGAATATAGTATAATATATCAGTCTTGAGTTTGTAGTGTCTTTACTTTGTAAAATATGTTTCAAATTATGTACTTGCTTCGTAGAACTTTTGTAAACTACATATAGAAGGCTAAAGAGTGGCTGTGTCTGAGCTGATGAAGAGTAGTTTACTATGATCCTTGTCTGTCAACAGCTATATTAGTTTCTAGGGCTGACATAACAAAGTGCTATAAACCAGTGACTTAAATGATGAAAGTTTATTTTCTCACAACTTTGGAGACAAAAAGTCCAAGATCAAGGTGTCAGCAAGGGTGGTTTCTTCTGAGGCCTCTCTCCTTGGCTTGTAGATGGCCATGGTCCCCTTGTGTATTTCGTCAGTCTTCCTTCAATCTCTGTGTGTGTCCTAATCTCCTCTTTATAAGGAAACCAGTTAGATTGAATTAAGACCCACCCCAAGGACCTCATTTTACTTTACCTCTTTAAAGATCCTGTCTCCAAATACAGTCTGTATCTGAGGCACAAGGGGTTAAGATTTACACATGTGAATTTTGAGGGGACACAATTCAGCCTATAGTAGCCCTTGAGCCTCCTGATGGCACACGGCACGGTGACCGTACCTTACTCTGTATGTAAATACTACACCTCTTAGAGACCCAGGGAGTACTCAGTGTACAACAGAGTACTGTATGCTATAGTCACAATGACAGGCAGAATCTATTTACTTATTTCATATTTGCTGCCTACAAGTTTAACCCAGATGAAGGGTAGGATTAAAATATATGAATATTTATCAGTCAGAGTCTTTGCAAGTTAAAGCCAAGCATAAGTGCATTTCTAGGACCTTCTAATAGATTCTTCCCACCCCCTCTTTTCAACCCTTCCGATGCATTTACATACTTGATTTAAAAACCAAATCTACATTATTTCTCTAGCCCTACTTTTCATAAATTATAAATTCACCACCCTCTTTGGAATGATGTTATTTTGACTTGATTTATCATTAATTACAAGGTCTTGGGACTTTAAGCGGTTAAGTAAATAGAGTGTTTGATCTCCATAGCGAGTTAATGCTGGCAGAACTGTCTACATACACATGCTTTACATATTACTTTATATACATTATGTTGGTATTTGGAAAGTATTACAGAAAGAATGATGTTTATATGATTATATAAAGAGTCTGTACATACATATAACATGCCCATGATCCTGTTTGTTACTCTTGGTATGAACTGGGTGAAAGTACTATTTATCATTTTGTGAAACATAAAGTTGTTCATACTATAATAATCCCTGCTTTGACTCAATAATCATTTTATAATACCTGAAAATTTTTATTTGGTAACCGATTTGTATAAGAAACAAAACCTGCAAGCATTTACCTCTCATTGTCAATTAGATACAGAAGCAATTATATATAGGAAGTTAGAACTCTTAAAATTACCATTGGGTTCTCTTCTCATTTTCTACCTGTGTCATAGAGCTTCTGGAAATAGATTGTGTCTCGAGAGTCCTGTATTCCCAAGATTTTGTATGATCTTATAATAGTGGTAATCATTAGCTTTGGTATCTGAGGAGCCCAGACATTTTATGATTTGATGATAGTGGCAGTTACTTTGTGCCAGCTTGATAGTCTGTGTTTGCAATTTGGGGTTTAAATCTGTAGCAAGGAGATGGTGCAGAAATGAGCCTGCAGGCACTCACTCCATCTGCTGCCAGGTATGCTCTCAATTAGACTTTTCTCCTTCTTTCATTGCCAGTCCCAGGCTCCGTCTGAACATAGAACCACTCTGCCTTGGGTCTCTTGGCTTTGAGCCACTAAGGACAGTCTATTTTTTAGCTCTCTCTTTTTGGTTATTTTTGCTAAACAAGTAGCAGATGAGGGAGGACTCTCATGATGGTACCTTTTTTTTTAAGTATCTTTTTTTAAAAAAATCCATTAAAAGGGGCGCCTGGGTGGCGCAGTCGGTTAAGCGTCCGACTTCAGCCAGGTCACGATCTCGCGGTCCATGCGTTTGAGCCCCGCGTCAGGCTCTGGGCTGATGGCTCGGAGCCTGGAGCCTGTTTCCGATTCTGTGTCTCCCTCTCTCTCAGCCCCTCCCCCGTTCATGCTCTGTCTCTCTCTGTCCCAAAAAAAAATAAATAAAAACGTTGAAAAAAAAAAAATTAAAAAAAAAATCCATTAAAGTAGTGAAGAGGAAAATCAGGCACAATGGCACTGGTAATATATGTTGTAAGACCAAAAAAATGTCATTTAGTAGAATCAGGAGAAAGTTAGTACATTGGCTTTTCTCTGGCCACCATTTTAGGTAATGTTTAGAGGCTATTTATATGAAACTAGAACATAATGAGCCATGAGAACTAACAACAACAACAAAATGCAGGTAAAAGATGGACGGACCACTTTTAATAATGGAGTCCTAAGTAAAATAGCTGGTAGGAAGATGGTACCTCAAAATTTCTGCTTTCAGAAACCAATACAGTGAATTCCGATGCCTTGTTTTAGCATGTAATGTCAAAATAATATTAGTTAAGAAAAAAGTTACTTTAGGGATAAAATTAATTCTTTTTTAAAAAAAATATGAGAATAAGAAACACTGATTGTGTCCTAGAACTCTTAATTTGCTATTAAGAATTTCTAAGAATATTTTAATATTCAAGAATTTCTCATGCTGGCATATGTAAATGATAGTCAACAGAACATTGTCAGTAATGGTAAAACATACAGAAACAACCTAAATATTCCTCTGTACGGATTGGCTAAATAAATAATGATATACTCATAAAACAGAGGATTATACGAAGTTTTCAAAAAAAGAGGTAGAGCTGTATGTACACATAGGGAAATGTATACAACTACACAGTTAGGTGAAAAAAGTGCAATTCTCCTTATGTCAATAAGAGAGAAAGGCTACATATTTTCACGTGGTACTTTTTGCCACCACATGGGGTGAGTAGACTGGCACTGTACCACCAAGGTGTGGCCAATTTATATAGTCCCTGATGTGAATGATGCTCCATGGAATTATGCAACACAAATATGCCTGATTTGTGTGTCTAAATAATTTCTGGAATGATCTATACAAACATATTCAAACTGATTACTTCCACATAATCAATATTGAGTATTTGAAATGGAGATGGAGATATACGAGGGGTTGTACTTTCAAGTTCTTATGTACTTTTGATTTATTTTTAGAATGTAAATGCAAATTTTTTGTTTAGAATGTTGATTTTTTAATACTAAGCATTTAATACATGTTTTATAAACACTTTTTAGTTAATTTATTCTATCATTTAGGTATTCCTCTTCAAATCTGAAAATATTACCATTTCTGAACTCATGATTGAAAAAGCCATGCTGATAATTACCAAATCTCTGTATCTCTGGTCTTGACCTCTCTTGAAACTCAGATTCTATGTACAAAAACCTGTTGAACATCTCTATCTAGGTACTTCAAAGTCTCCTCCTTTTCACTTTTGTAAAACTGAACTCCTCCTCTTCCTCTGTGGGCCATCTCTTTCTCATCCCCTCCTTCCTTATCTTCAGTGAAGTTTCTGTCATCCACCTAGTCAACTATGGTGAAAATCGTAAATGCCGTTTTAGATTCTTTCCTGTCCTTTCCCTGCTAGATTCCATTGATCATTAAATGATATTGATTTTTCTTTCTTAACCTTTCTCAAATACATTTCTTCATCTGAACAGCCACCAATGCAGTTACATCCTCTATCATTACTTACCTGAGCTATTACAAATTGTATTCAAACCTTTCCATGCTAAAGGCAGAACAACCTAAAACTAGAATCTCTTCATATTCTTCTAACTTTCCAACTATTATTAGGCTATCTATTTCTGTTCCCTAAAATGTACATGGGGGCAAAGGTAGCACCCCTTAAAGAATGTAAATTTTCTAGATATCAAATTTTTACCTACTTGTATCCTTAGGTATGTCTATAAGACTTTGAATTATATAAAAAATGTGTGCATAAAGTGTGTATAAAGTGATAGGTAGATGAAATTAACTTACATTTATACCAGAGATTAGCTGGTTTAAAACCTCTGGGTGCAGATACAAAGTGCAGCAATCCCATCAATGGATGGTAAATTATAAATACAAAATAGAATGTAATAATATAAGGAATACTGAACCAGAAATTAAGAATCTAAGGGCATTGGTCCTAGCTCTGATCACATCTAGATTTGAGGTTGAAAACCTAAGGTCTGTGTGTTCAAGTTACCCTCTTTACAGAATGAGAAGAGATTTAGGCTAGATTAGAGATGGCAAATACGTCTCAACTCAAGTGCCAACCTCAATCAATTTGAAGTGGTTGCCTGAAGAGTAAGGGTATGCATTTGGGACCAGGAACATTTCACTGAAATCAATTAAGAAGGTCTGTCATGGTTGGGGGAGAGAGAGTTTGAGCACATATGCCTATATTAGCTATCCCAAGACTTGGTAATCTTTAAGTCCCAGCTCTATGATTCACTATTTTTGTGCCATATAACAATGAGGATAGATTGAAATTGTTGATCTTCTTGTTCCTTCGTTGCCTTCAAATGTTCCAGTTCATTTAAGATGTATTACCTCACAATTGAATGTGAATCCAATGGTAATACTAACATTTAAGTGTAAGTGGTAGACTTTTACAGTATTTTAAATTTTTCTTTCTAGATCTTCCACCTCCTCCGGTGCCACCACCTGCTATAAAGTCACCCACTGTCCAATCCAAGGCACAGCTGGAGGTACGACCTGTAATGGCACCCAAACTACCTTCTATAGAAGCAAGAACAGACAGATCATCAGATAGAAAAGTAGGCAGCTACAAGGGGAGAGAAGTATTGGATGGAAGACAAGTTGCAGATATGAGAACAAATCCAGGTGATACCAGAGAAGCACAGGAGCAGCAAAATGATGGGAAAGGACGAGGAAACAAGGCAGCAAAACGCGACCTTCCACCAGCAAAGACTCATCTCATCCAAGGTACTGATTTATTCATACAGCAAATAAATATAGATTGAACATATATTTTGTAAGTTACACTGTTAGGTTCTTGTGAGCCATATGAAAATGGATAAGATTTAGAAATTTGGTCTCTAATGGAGGAGACGAGCATGTACTCAAATAATTTTAATATAATTAAATTAAATTCGTAACATTATATAAGACTTCCTTGGAGAGGTGTCATTTGAATTGGGTTTTAAGGGAAAGCATGATTTCAACAGGTTAAACAGGGAGAAGGGGATAGCAGATAAAGGAAATAAATGGAGAAAAAACATGTAAGTGTAAAAACCTATGTTTGGGGAACTTTAATTTCCAGTTTGACCAGAGAATAGGTTGCTTCGGGCCCGGCACAGATAATGAAAGATAAAACTAGAGAGGTGGTTGGGCCAGATTGGCAAGGCTGGGAATGTGACTCTAGACTGTGAGGTTTATGATATAATCAGTGGTGAGCCAGCAAAGAATTTTGAGCAAGAAATGACAGAATCAGATTTTTAGAAAAAGAATTGGCAGCACTCTATAGTGAAGGAAGAGACTGCAATCTAGTTGATGAAAGTATCAGGTCACTGTAAAATATCTAGGTATAAGATAGGAAAACACTGAATTAAAATAGGTATGTGGGGAAATAAAGGAGAGAACAGCCTCCACTGGCATGTCAGAGATAGAGCCAGTAGGAATTGGTGACTAATCGAAAGTAGAAAATAGACTGAAACTATGGAGTAAAGCAGAAGTTACTCAAATGTTAATTAGATGGCCCTGCTGACTAGTGGAATATAATTGTACTAACCAATGTAAGAAAACAAAACAGAAAAGATTTCTAAGGGAAAATATTTTCAACGTTGAATGGATTAAGGTGCTGACAAGAACACAGATATGAAGAAAATCAATAAGACTTTAGACAACTGAGTTTAAAGATCAGGGGGAAAGGTTGTGAGTAGAGAGTGGATTTTAGAAACAGCAACACAGAGTCAAATTGTGTGAATTACAAAGGCTAAATTATCAACAGTGATATATAGGTTAAAGCTGCGCAATCAATTCTCTGGGAGGAAAGCAGAGCAAAATCCTAATTTGTGCCCATTTACATACTTCTGTTGGGTAGTTACTCCCAAGACAGCTGGTTTCAAGCTGCTAATATGAAGTCAGTGAATGTGGAGTTGGGAAGACTTGGTTACTCTTCTTTTGCTGAGAACGTGTGAGCCAGTTTCAATGCACCAATAATCAGCAGTGATTATATTTAAAGACTAGGCACAAGAATGACTTTCTATAGTGGAAACTAAGATGGATCCACCCAGAGATATAAAATAATCAAGATCTCTAAGCCAGAGAAAATAGTGTCCTAGAAAGAATGGAGGAGGAAATTTTAAGACAGGAAGAAATCTAAAATGCCACACAGAACTGAAAGTTGGATGTTAACAGGAGGTGGAGGATGGGGAGAGGATGCCTAAGGATTTTGTAATATGTTATTTGTGGGTGGTATTAGAACTGTTTTTAGTAGAGTAGTCAGAATAGATGCCAGACTCTAAGGAGTTGTAAAGTAAATGGACATTGTGAAGGGAGGTGATGAGCCCTTTTCAGAAGGCTGGGAAGAGAAGAGGTTGGGAACAAGTTTGCCAGGAAGGCAGAATTTGTAGAAATGCTTTAGGATAGTGTATTTGAGCATTATTATATACTAAGGAAAAGAAACCATTTAGGAGAAAGAAATATAATAAAGGGAAGATTGGTCATAGTCAGAAAAGAGTGGTAGGGTAATGAATCTGAGAAGCCTGTACAACTACTGCTGTATTTTAATAGATATGTTGTGATAAAATTAGACATCAAACTCTCATTCTTTTTATTATGGGCACCTGGTCATTAGCAATGTCCTTTCAAAATGGGAGTCAGTTTCACTCTCTTATGTGACAGGAAGCCTGAACTCCTAATCTAGGCATGTACTCAGCAACAAAGTGATGAGTGGGGGTGGACGCCCCCACTATATGAGCACAAAGTACTTGGTGTTATTACCACAATCCAAAGTTTGAAAAACTTAGCTTGCTTGTTATCAGTTAAGCAAAATGTGATCTGACTCTGACTCTTTGATCTATTCTATACTCCAAGTAGTGACTTATAACTACAATGTCATGACATAAATTATGAAGTTTATATGTGGCCTGAAAGTATAAACCAATTTGCTGCTACAAGTAAGCTTCCTCCAAAGCAGGTGGGATTTTTCAGGGAAGAAAAAACAACTTACAAACCTGGAAAGATATTGGTGTATACAGAATTAGAACAGAGAGATGGAATTATTTTATCCATCTTTAAACTTTTAATAAGTTGTCCTTTGTGTTATAAAAATATTTCTAACTAAAGAACTATTGCTGGCACTATTAATCTAGAAACAAGGGACCCTATTTCATGGAGAGCACTGAGTTACACTGACCAGATTATTATTTTATGTCTTGCTTTCCCAAATTCTGATTTGAACCATAACTCTGTGTATATGTGTCATTAAATGATTGTTTCTATGCATTGCTATAATTTTCACCTTCATAATTCAGTTGACATTATTTAAAATGAAAGAGGCACCCTGATTTACATGTGTAATGAATGGTCATTTTTTAATTAAAGAGAGTGGTCTTCTAGACTTGAATGACTGATTGTTTTGCTGACATTTACCTCAATTAGTTCAATTTATTTCTACATATATCAAACATCCACTGCGGTATAAAGCATTGTACTGGTCTTGAGATTTATGTGTAAGTATGAACCTTGACCTCAAGAAGCTTACAGTCAGAGTTGGAGACAGGTTATCTGTAGATTCACAGACATATTCATATTTGGTATAACGTTTATGATGCTGTGATACTTGAGAGTCCAGAGAAGGGACAGTTAGCCCAGTCTTGTGGGGACGTGAGGTAGAAAACGACTTCTTGATCTTTCCTGGTGGAAATAACACATAAGCTGAGTGACCGGGGTGGGTGGAGTTTTACTTGGGTAAGAAGAGTGAATAGATTGTTCTGGCAGAGAAACTCAGCATGAAAAGCTTTGAGATACATTAAGAAGATTATAAATTCACTGTGACTAAGATAGTAAATGTGGTCAAAGAGGAAGCTCTTGAGGTAAATATAAGTTTAAGTCATAGAGTGCCTGTAGTTCCTATAAGAAGGCAGCTGAGTGAATATGTTTTAGAGAGGAATAGCTCAAGACATAGAGATCTATTGGAAGATATTTGCAACACCTGGACAAGAGATGTGGAGAATATAAACCAGGCTATAGGAACAGAGATGAGTGAGTAGGAAAATTCAACATTAACATTTTTTTGTGTTAAAAGTCAGGCTCACCTGTGTATATTTGAATGTGTGGAAAAGGTACATTGAAGGAGTGCTGGAAGGTTGTTGGAAGGCAGGGAACACTCTAAAATAATTTCAGTTTTCTGTGTTTGTTTTCTTAATAATTAGTGTTGTCATTAACTGTATTAGAGAATCCAGAAGAGAAGAAAGGAATGGACATGATGAAGTCAATGTTCGACATAGTGAGTTTGAGGGATGCTTAAGAGGAAGTATTCAACATAATTCAAAAATTGGAAATTAAATTAATGATTTATCATAATAAAATAGTAATTAAATCCACTCATTCACTCAAAACTATTTATCAATGACCTGTTATATGTCAAGTTGAGAGTATATCAAAACACAAAACACGGAAAAATACCTGCCCCCATGACAGTTACATTCTAGAAAAGGTTACAATTTGTGAGAATGGATGAAATTACCCAGAGTGAGTGGGAGAAAAATGTATATGTATACACTAGGGTAAAAGTAGAAATTTGCAGGGCATCAACATGTATGAGGCACTCTATAGGAAGAGCCCACAGAAAACTGTCCAGGAAGGAAGAGAACTAGAAGCTGGGAATAGTGATGTTTAAATTGATAGTGGTTTCCAGATGAAGGCAGCGAGAAGTCCAGAGACATAAGGGCTGAAACATGATTAGCATTTTCAAAGTCAACAGTGAGTTTTCTCTTTCATAGTGGTAATGTGGGCATGCATAGATTTCAGTGCGATCCAGAGTAAATGGGAGTTGCATCTACCACTATTGAGTCTAAATTCAAGAAGCTTTGTTGAGCATTAAGGACAGAAAGAAGGTATTGATTCACGTAGAGCACAGGCTTAACAGGAAATTTTTTAGCAAAAGACAGATTTTATATTGTAGATTGACAAAAATTACAGTCAATTGAGAGAAAAAGATTGGTAAAACAGGGACAGAAGATGCAGGTCACAGGAGTGCAAGTGCTATGAGGCAAGGATGCAGGAACAGTGGTGTTCATGGACTGTGAGACCCCAGCAAGTCAGAACCTGGATGATGGGTAGAAGTTGTAATGAGTAGAATGGATGGAGAAAGGTGCCATCAAGGAGGACTAAACAGGTGACATTAGTAGAGTCGTTGACCTTCCCAGGAAGAGAATGTTTTGTGCAAAGGTCAGGGAGTATTGACTTCGAACTGGTGCTAGTTGGGATAAGAGGCAAACCGTCCTCATTCTACTGGAGAGAGCTTGTGTCGAAACCTCAGGGGAAATCAGATTGCATCCAGGCAGCGTGGACAGTAGAAGCATTTGGAGGGGGAGGGGAATAGAAGAGTTGGTTTTTCATGTGTTTGGTGTCCAAAGAGTGGAGGGAACAGGCTTTAGAGAGAAGTGAGCAACTGGTGGAGGCATCAATACAAGCAGCACCAAATTTAAAGCAGTAAGAAGATAGAAATTCAGAAGATGGTGTTTAATTAGAGTGGCTTGTGTTTTGAGCTAGCGATGTGGCAAACTTCTGAGATTCAAGGTTCCACAATGTAAATACAATGTTAAGATGGAGGTTGTCTCGAAAGTGAACCTGGGCCTGATTCTGTTTTGGTAGTTTGAGGAAACTGGACTTTGTTTTTATCAGTGCCTGAAAACGATCTTTCATAATTTGCATAGAGATTTCATTATCTCCTCTGTTTTTACAGCAACACTAGGGGCTCCTCTGGGTATACATATTATTAATACTTTTTCTTAGAAAAGTGGAAACTAAGGCCTAAAATAATTGGATATCACATAGTGAAGGAGAGAACTGGAAGCTCTGTCTGATTCTAGGTTTGGTTTACCTCTTAATGAATTTGGTCCCAAGTGAGTTTGAGGTAGTCAGGAGCTTGTGAGTGAAACCAACCTGAACGCCAACCACTACCAGGAAGACAAGACTTGTTATTTTCATTTTCATGACAATGCTGCTTTTCAATTATTGTTATAAAATATCCTCACTCCTCAAAAACACTGGTGCTTCCCCATTCAAAATTACAGACGTAAGTGATGATACATTATACAATGAAAATGCATAATGGTGTTCATATGCACTTACTATATTTCATTACACAGAGGATATTCTACCTTACTGTAGACCTACTTTTCCGACATCAAATAATCCCAGAGATCCTAGTTCTTCAAGCTCAATGTCATCAAGAGGATCAGGAAGCAGACAAAGAGAACAAGCAAATGTAGGTCGAAGAAATATTGCAGAAATGCAGGTTCTTGGAGGATATGAAAGAGGAGAAGATAATAATGAAGAATTAGAGGTATCTATAATTTTTTTCCAAGTTTCTCAGCATTATGCTAGTTATTAAATCAGCCTCAAATTTAGAAATATATATCAGGCCACAGAAATGTTTCTGTTTTACCACAAATGCCAATGTTAGTGATACCAGAGACTAAACTTCTGTGAATTTAATGATTTTCTTGAAATGCATTCCAATGTTTTAAATGGTGATAACAGTTTCTTTTTGGATCTAGAGGTCATGTTCATCTGCAGATATTCATATAAGAAGTTTATATAGCAAACATGTTGTTAGGAAATAAGAACTATTTCTCTAGATAATATATTGTATAGTACTGTATTGTAGTACGTTGTAAAAACCAGTAAGGTGACAGAGTTATAAGGATGTAAATGAGAGTGCTTAGCCTGTGTTATCTGCCGCCCTAGTAATCACTGGGGTTAATCTAACTGATTGGACCAACTATCTTCCACCTTAATTCTTCTGCCAATGAGAACATGATCCTTGACATTAACCTTCCCAGAAGAGAACACTGTTTGAGTCAAATATATACTCCTTTGTTGGAATTTATAGATAGCAATACAAGATAGAATTGGCAGTAAGTCAAAATAAACCAACTTTTAAGACCATGTTTCCTCCATTTAATAATAATAATAAACAAGTTGAGGACAAATTTCTCTTCTTACAAATATATTTAAACCCAAGTAGATTGTTAAATGAACGTTCATCTTAGACTTTTAAGAATAGAAGATGAAAAATTTTAAGGCATAGTATCTAATTGAATTTCCTATAATACCCAAAACATCTTGATTTTGAATTTTGGAATAAGATTTTCTTCTTGCAATTGTTGTGATGAGAAGCTGTTTTATAAGTTGTGCTTGTCTTTTTGAGGAGAAGAACTTTTCTGGGGGACAAAAAGTTACCAAAAATAACTCTAATACTTAAACCAATAAAATTTGAGCTATAATGTTGAGTTGGGGATGGGGTAAGTAGAGAAATCCACCTTCTGCTGCCCCTCTCGCTCCTGCCCCACATACCCCAATACTGCAACATTGTGTAGAACACAGTTTGGTGCTTGTAGAGAACTACTGGATCTTCTATCAAAACCAGCTGTAAAAACAAATGAAATCAGTTGCCATGAGCACTTTTTAACGTATGCCAGGGAATGAAGGAAGAAACGCAAATTATAAGGATAAAAACATATACATCCATATAAAGATAAGACTATAAGATTGATTTTGAAATTTACCAAAAACTTATCTCTTACAGGAAACTGAAAGCTGAAGACAACCAGAGAGGCTCGTGCGATCCAATGTGAAAAGTATCTCTCAAGATGCCTCTTGTCTGATGACACATGACGCCAGATACAATGTTCAGTGCAATCAGAGTGTAAAAATTGTCATTTTTATTCCTCTTATTGGAATACCATTTTTAAAAATTTTATTGGAGTTTTATTGTTGTTGTTTGATCCTTATCCCTATGAAGAACTTCCCTATTCCCCTCGCTGTTGGAACAAACCATTACACTTTACTTCTAGCAAGGGAAGTACTTGACTTCTTGCTTCAGTCATCAGCCAGCAAGAGAGAACAAAACAGTTCGTTTGCATTTTGCCCCTGAGATATGGCATTGCACTGCTTCTATATCAAGCCAATTTTATAGCAAAGTATTGATCAAAGATACAAAATTGACTAATCAACCTCATGGCAAGGGCTCTCAAGATATAATCTTTCTATAACCAACTGCTACTGCAAATTAAAACATGTTTCATTTTCACATGATTTTAAAGTCAGTCTTTCATACCACCCTCTGCTGGGAGAAAATAAAATAGAATACATGCAGAACAACCACAAGTCGATTTGAATGGGGTAGAAACATTGTAAATATATACTCTTTGCAACCCCTGGTGGTACTTTATTTTGTCTTCATTTCAATCATGGAAGTATATTCTTACTGGAAATATACTTTTGGATAAGTAGGGATAAGCCAGTTGGATCTCTGGTTGTCTAGTCATTGTCATAAGTAAGCCTAGCAAAAAACCTTGTTCTATTTTTCAATCGAATGCAATTATTAATGCATATTACAAACCAATGGATGTTTTTAATGACCAATTGAATAAGGACATCCCTATCTTAACTGGCCTAAATTTCTTCTGGTAGTGTCAGTTCAACTTTCAGAAGTGCCACTTAAGGAAGTTTGATTTTTGTTTTTGTAATGCACTGTTTTTAATCTTTTTTTT